ACTGTTCATTTTTTTTTTTTTTTTTTTTTTTTTTTTTTTTTTTTGTACCGGGGATCAAACTTAGGACCTTGCACTTGTGAGGCAGGGGGCAGAACCACTGAACTAAATCCCTGGCCCTAATTGTCCATATTGAGATGTACATGCATTTGTGTCATATGAGAGATCAGTGAGCATCCAGTATACTTCTGATCACAAGCACTCTGGTTAAAGATTAGGATTTGTCAACCGTAAGTACATTGTGCCATCATCTGCAGCTCACTCAGACCAGGGTTAGCATAGCTATGAAACTTGGTAAGACTCATAATTATGGCTGGCTATTCTTGCCGTTTAAAAGTCTTTCAAAGTCTTAAGCATTCTGAAAACATACAATAGGCAGACCAGTCTTTTATTGGTCTACCAAGAATCCTAAATATCTAACAAATTAACAGATCTTGATACATAACAAAGAAATATGTCTGAATTTAAGAAATAATATAAAATTATTATAATACCTAATATTTTAAAGAATATTAAGGAAGCTAACATTAGCAGTTGTATTATTATAGAACTTTAATAATTTAGACTGTGTTTGTGTCCAAGTTCTGTCATTTTATAACTGGGTTTTGATCAAATCACTTGGCTACTCTAAACTTGACTTTCTTCTCTTCTCTGTAAAATATCGGTACCTGCCTTGTAAGGATTTGTCAGTGTGTTGGGAGAAATAAGGGAGATAATACACATGAAGCACTTAGCACAGTACATGACACAAAAGAAGTATTAAATTAGTAGTTATTTTGTCTGAGAACTTTATCTATGCTGTTTGGATTATGGTCTTCCCAAGAACATACAGAGAATAGACAATATGGATCTGGGATTTGAACCCTGGTCCTTTGGCTCCAAATTCTGTGCTTTTTCTACCACAGCAAGGGATCTTAATTTGGAACCATAGATCTGTAAGGAGACTTTGTGTGGATCCGGAAGTCAATTGTTAGGATCTATGAGGTGATGCATCATGAAGTCCTTCCTTTGTTCCTTCAGAGGGATCACTGCCTTCAGAATTATTTGAGTTCCTGGGCAATTTATTCTCTAAGGTATCTAGATATGACAAACAGAAAAATGGATCGAAATAATCATTTCTTAGAGTTGTTGGGGAATTTGGCTGTTTTAAAACTGGCCACAAGGTGGTGTAGTGACACATGCCTGTAATCCTCATACTCTGGGAGGCTGAGGCAGGAGGAACACAACTTCAAGCCCAGCCTGAACAGTCTTTTTCCTCAACTGATTCTCTGGAGCAGATTGGGATACCAGAAGGGCACAGAAGCCCCTTTAGAAATTGAGGCGGACTCCAGCACAGATGCTCTTCTGAGTATGCCTGCCAGGGCCCTAGAGTCTTTTTGCAGCACTTTCTGTGGTTTAGGACCCCACTTTGATATTGTTACCATTTTGTCTCTGAATGTTGAAGAACCCCACAGGGATCTGAAGTGTTATCCTTCACCATTTATTTACAAGAACACTGTGGGAGAAGAAATTGGGGCCCATGCCTAGTTTACTACCGCTGATGTATTTCACCGAGCATCAAAAGAAGCAGTCATGAAGGCGCTGTGGACTGGCGGTGGAGTTTGTTCTCCTTCAGTGTTGTCAGAGGATAATCAGAAGTGACTGTCTTTTTCTCAGAAACATGTGCTTCCTCAGGACTTAAATTAATTTTTATTTCCAGTATTATCAACGCCTTAATGATCTAGTGGCAGCACCAGCCCCGATTCCACCCCTTCTGGTGTCTGGAGGACCAGGTTCTGGAAAGTCCCTTCTTTTATCCAAGTGGTATGATGCAGCGTGATTAAGTCATTTTATCATCCTCATCATTTGAATTACTGAAGCCCTTCCCAGAAAGTATTGCATGTCTGCCTTCCTGCATGGCCTGTACTAAACATTTCAAAAGCACGAAGGAGTAAATTGACGGGTTTATGCCCAGGAGTGTGTAGAGTTTGGGTGTCAGAGAGAAGATTAGAGAATGAGAAAGCAGTAGAAACTCTGAGCATTCACTGTTGTGTAGTAAGAGACACGAGAGGGCTGTGAAGGGAGTGGTCAGTGTGGCATGGAAGTAGGTCAGTTGCAGAGGGATGCACTTTATTCCCAATTATTGTCTTCATCTTCAAAGTTTCAGCGAGATTTTTAAATATTTAAAACAATACAAAAACCATTCAGAAAAAAAACAAATTCTAAGAAACATCAAAATTAAGGTTAATCAATTATGAATGTCAATTTACTTCTTCAGATTATATACTACAGTTCACATCAACTAATAAATTTTTATTTTTTTGTTTTCATAAAAACAAGTAGTAAGAATATTTTTAATTCGTAATTGCTCACATTGGCTAGTTAGTATAGGTCAGTGGTGGCGAACCTACGCACGTGTGCCACGATGGGATGAGCGTATCATTTAAAGTTCTAAAAGTTTTGCCGTCGCTGGTGTAGGCCATCGTTCCCTGTTTATTGCCCTTTTCAAAATATACTTAGAGAATAGTATTTTTATACCTAATAAATTTTCTAATCATAGTATATTTTTAATGAAAAGTTAATGCTTCTTTTACTAATACCTTAATCTCCAATGTAAACTAGATTACATTAACACCAATTTGTAATTAAATGAATTTATACTTTTTAAAAGTTTATTTAAGTAAAGATTCTGAAAATGGAGTAAAATCAAATCTCTTTGTTCAGAAGTGAATAACTATGTAATTGCTGACAGGCAGCATTTAATTCATTGTTAATTTTTTGTTTGTCTGTTTTAAGCTAAAGGAGCATCGTCAGTCTTGTAAAAGTCCTGTGTTTTCCTTTCAGGATTCAGTTGCAACAGAAGAGTTCCCCTAACGTGCTGATTCTTTCTCATTTTGTGGGGAGGCCCATGTCAACCAGCTCAGAGTCCTCCTTGATTATTAAACGGCTGACTCTAAAGGTAAAACATGCCGCCTTTTGGAATTACCCAAATTTTATTTAAATTGAGAAATTGTTAGGACTATGTATTAGTAATAAATGATCATTATTACAAGTTGAGCATCCCCAATGTGAAGTCCTGCAGACTGCTCTAAGATGTAGAACTTTCTGAGCACTTACTTACCTCACAGCACAAGTGGGAAATTCCACATCGACGCCTTAGGGCAGTGGAAATGTAGGCACACTAAAAATACCGCATAGGAACCTTCAGGCTGTATGAGAAGGTGGATATGTAACATATGTGAGTTTTGTGTTTAGATTTGGCTTGCATTCCCAAGGTCTCTCTTTATGCATGTGCAGCTGTTCCAAAGTCTAAAACAATGTTACGTACCTACCTCTGCTGCCAAGCATTTCAAATAAGGGACACTCAACGCCTAGCTAGTTATTCTGGTTTTGTGTAAGATTAAAAATAGTAGTTGATATGATCATGTCCTCATGGGGAGTCGACTTTGATCTATTAGGAAGGCTAGAAGTCTCTCGCCAGTTGTGGCGAAGTGTGACGGCTGTGACCCCTGCCTGTTGTCTCGCAGTTGATGCAGCACTCCTGGTCAGCGTCTGCACTGACGCTCGACCCCGCGAAGCTGCTGGAAGAATTCCCACATTGGCTGGAAAAACTCTCCGCTCGACATCAAGGCAGCATCATCATCATCATTGATTCTGTAGATCAGGTTCAGGTAGGTTTGTCACTCTGTCATGTGTCGCTGTGCTTGGGTAGCTGCCTAAGCCACACCCTTGGCGGGAAAAGCATGGATGCAATTTCTTTTATATCTGCTTAATCTCTAGAGAGGAAGCATGTGGATTTTTTAAAAAGTACTGTGTTCCAGCAGACATTAGTGTCTCATTGGGAAAGATCAACTGAATTTATAGAATTGACAAAAAGTATTTGATACATTTTTAGGTCTGACATTTAACTGTCCTGAATTCAAATTGGTGATAATAATGCTTTGCCATTTGTTCTTTTAGATCCTAAGATATATCATGTAAAAATAAGATTTTTGTCAATAATAATAAGGGAAAGTGAGAATTTAATTTTAATTGGAGCTGTTATTGGATTGTTTGAAAATATATTGATTCATAGATTGAATTTTGTTTTTATATTTTTAAGCAAGTGGAAAAACACATGAAATGGCTCATCGACCCGCTGCCTGTGAATGTCCGAGTGATTGTCTCTGTGAATGTGGAAACTTGCCCTGCTGCCTGGAGGTACAGTGCTCCCTCCACTTCCTGCAGACTGCACAAAATGTTTGGAGGGCAGACAAGAAAAGGTTTTTGATATACTTTTATGTTTTTCATGTAAAAGGCAGTGATGATTTGAAATGGTTCAAGAAATGAACCAATGAGTTCAAGAAAGTAACCTTTAGGATGTGGTGGGAGGTTCGATCTGAGATGTAAGGGAAAAGGAGAAAGCTAGGCAAATGCCTCCTAAGTTTCTGACTTTCAAAACTGAATTATGATTTCATGAGCTAAAATGAACACAAAGGACAGGCAGTGTGTAGGGGAAAGGGATTAAGTTCAACGTTTTCACTTGGTTATTTTTAGTTTCCAGTTGTAGATCTAAGCAATGAGCCCTAGTAGGGCAGTTGAATTTATGGGTGAGAAAAACCAGGGTGGGCTAGGGAGAGGAAACAGCAATCTAGACATCTGCTAACTTGAAATATAAGCTCACATCAGCCCTCAAAAAGTGATACAAGGGTTGAAATCTGTAGGGTAGTGTTTTTGTTTGTTATTGTTGTTATTTTTGGTTTTTTGAGATAGAGCGTCACTGTGTGTAGTTCAGACTGGCTTTGAACTCACCATGTAGCCCACACAGGCTGGCTCTAACTCACAGAGATCCCCTCCTCCCTCAGCTTCCTGAGTGCTGGAATTATGTATATGCTTGTAGGACAGTGGTCTTTAATCTGTTTTTTACTATCTTAAAGTCTGTTGGATATTTTTTTCTAATCAGTCTCCCCTAAAGGAACTTTAATTCTATTCATACTTTGTATATCAGTTTACATATATAAACAGATATGAGTATATTTGCGCTTTATACATAAGAGTAACATTTTTATGGCCCCCCATAAAATTATTTTTACTACCACATTGAGAATGCATATTGTAATAATTAAACTTTAATTACACTGTAAGTGCTAGTGGGCAAAGACTGTCTTGTACCACTCCTCATAAGTACCAATACCTATGTTTAATTTTACTAAATTCAGAACATATAGCTAGAAATACTCTCCCACTTGGCTGTCTAATGTATGTGCTATTTAATTTGTAACACTTTATTGTGACAAATTGGTGACAAAAATAATACATATTAGAACGAATAAAATAATTTTAATATGATTGGTGGAGATTAATTTTACTTATCTTTATACAATCACTATAAAAATTAATTCCTGTAGTGGATTTATCTTGTGGGTAGATTACAGTCCTTCTGTATTATTAGAATTTCATTTTTCTTTTCTTTAAATAAAAGGTTGTGGCCTACACTTCATCTCGATCCCTTAAATCCAAAAGATGCAAAATCTATTATAATTGCAGAATGCCACTCAGTAGACATTAAGTTGAGTAAGGAGCAGGTAAATATTTTTTAATTTTGATGCTATCTTCACTGTCTGCTTTCTTATAAAATACATGATGTAAAATTCAGTACAGAGCTCTGTTGTTCCAAGGAAAATTGGACTTCTGTAATTACCTTGATGAATGCATTCCCTCTTTATGGCCAGTGCAGAAGAAGCAGAAAAGGATTTGGGGCTTAAGTATACTGCGTAACCCTAGCAGGTATCCACATTGGTGGGGCCTTCCGTCTGCAGGGGTGGGAGGGCTGAAGGTGGCCAGAATCCCCAGATAGTGCAAGGCCACTACGGTGGGGTGGCAATGGCGCAGTTACTGCTGGGGCATTTGCCGTGGCTCTGTAGTGGTGACTGCTTAATTATGGGGGTTTCTGTGTTTTGTCTTGTGGTTTTGGTGAACTGGTGCAGGAGAAGAAGCTAGACCGACACTGTTGTTGTGCTGCCACCTGCAATGCCCTGTATGTCACCCTTTTCGGCAAAATGATGGCACGGTAAGCGGGAGTCATTTTCCGAGGCCTTCTTGAGTTTCGTGTTTGCTGCAGACTAATCTCCCACCCTGTAAACTGAGAGTTGTTTGTTTTAAGAGCTCCTGCTTGCCCTAATGGAGGAGCTTACATTCCTCGAGGATGTGACTCATTGCCAAAAACAGAGCCGCCTGTGAATTGTTAGAACTTGTCCTATAGCTTTATTTGATTAACTTTTTACTACTGGGCTTGCAAAAGGAGGCTGTCTTGCCTTCATTTGAGGCCACCTTTGAGTGTCCTTAGCACTTGCTGGGGCGCCCCTAGCTTTGGGTATATGGAGGAGACATAGGAGGTGTAAGCATGTTATTTCAGGTGTCCTTAATATCAGTAAGTTGGTAGGTAAGGAGTTTTAGTTGTCCTTTCTCAAATTATGATAGTAGATTACTTCTGTCTTATTGATCTACTAGTAATCTACTATAGATAAGCATTAGAATGTTTTGCTATTTTTATTTCTTTTTTGATACTTCACTCTACTGTCTTTGTCCTCAACCAGAGATAGAAAAGATTAAAATGTTTTTGTTATGCATGAAAATAGATTAAAATCCTATTCCTAGTATACCTCTCATTTCCAGACACTGAACCTATTACTTTTGTCTCTTAATTCCACATTTTTGTCTTGAGCACCACATTTGAAATGAAAAGAAAAATCTAAAACTTTAAATTTCCGTGAATTTTCATCATCTTCCCTCCGTGAAGTTGTGGTGTGTGACATTCTGCACCGTCAGAAGCAGTAAGTCGGAGTGTACATTATAAGAGGGACTATGGACCGTCTTTGTTCATTTTTTTCTCCATATGTATGTTTCTAAAAGAAACGACTAATAAATACTGTGCAATATATTAAAACAAACCCTCCACTTACTTATTTTAGTTTAACGTTTTCAAACTTCTAGCTGTGTGCACATTTAAATTGCCTGGTTAACTAGCAAACATTGCTCGTCCTTAGTTCCCTCCTTCCTGTGAATAAAGGTGCATCCTTCCAGGTGATAAGAACCGCGTCTTTATCACTTTTATGTTCCACAGTGGAAAGTTAATTTCTTGACATATAGCAAGTCTCAGCGTGTTTACTGAATTAAATTTAATGCTGTATACGAGACTGTGACTCATGAAGCAGTCTCGTGAAACTACCATTTTCCTGTGTTGTAGTTTATTCAATTGTGTTACCAGATGCAGTGCAAAATGGAGGGGTCGCATTGTCTCTGTCCACCCCAGATTTTTCATAGATGTTGGTACCCTATAAGAAATTATATCTGTTTTCACTTCCAACAGTGCAGGGAAAAGAGGCAGTTTAGATAAAACCCTTCATCAGTGCCTGCAGTGCCAAGATACTGTTTCCCTATACAGACTTGTTCTACACTCCACCCAGGAGTCCATGGCAAGTGATGTGGAGAAAGAGCTAATGAGACAGGTAAAGTAAAACAGTTACAGAGGGAAGATTAGTTGGCCTTGTTCCAAACTATATGAACTGAAGTAAATAATGCCTTTGAAATTTGTGCTTAAATATGTTTCAAGCATATACAGGAATCTGGGAGCTATCAGGAATTATCATTGGGACTTCTCATCTGTTCATGGTCATTGATTTGCTTTGTTTCTTCATATGTAAAATTGCTGGTCCAAGTCCTCTACCTGTTGCTTTTTTTTTAATTCTTCATTGTATTCTGTCAGTGTCTGTGGCTGATGTTTTCCTCATATGCCCTTTGCCTGAGAGAAGGGAGGGGAAGTGCTGGATTTTAAGTGCACACTGCCCTACTCTTGGTTAATGCCTTTTGGACAAGCGGGTTTTATTATAAGAAATCTTTCTTGATTTAATAAATCATTTAGTCGGGGATTTAGCTCAGTGGCTCTGCCACCTGCTTTGTAAGTGCAAGGTCCCGAGTTTGATCCCTGATATATATAAAAAAAAAAAGATAAATAAATCATTTAAATTATAAGTTTGGCAAAAAGTTAATAAGCTTACAAGAATTGTGGAAATTTTAATTACTGTTAGTTACTTAGGAAGTGTTTTGTGAACACTGTTCGTTTGTTTTTCTAACTATTAGGTTCTCTGCCTTCTCAATGTTAGTCACAATGGTGTGAGCGAATCAGAACTGATGGAACTCTATCCTGAAACATCCTGGGCCGTCTTGACCTCCCTCATTCACAGTTTACACAAAATGTGTTTGTTGACCTATGGCTGTGGCTTGCTCAGGTTTCGGCATCTGCAGGTAAATTTTAAGCATCTTTTACATTTTATTTTGTACTTTTAAATTTCAATGCAGTACATTATTCATTGTATATTATACTATGTTAATTAAATATTTCAGTTCCCAAACAAAATTAGAATTTTGCATTACAAGGGTTTTTTGTTTGTTTGTTTTTGCAGTGACCAGGTTAACGGTTATCTAATATTATGTTATGTGGGATCTTTAGGAGGTGGCTGTTACTTTGAAAGGAAGTATCTGCAAGATGCACCAAGTTCTAGAGATTTATAGTACAACCTTATTCTTATAGTTAACAATACTGTATCATACACTTAAAAGTTTATTGAAAGGGAAGATAGACCTCGTGTTCTTACCACATTAAAATTTTTAAACAAAGCCAGTCACAAAAGATCAACACACACACACAGCTTCTTTCTGGGAAAGAAAAAAAGTTTTTCAATTCTATGTTTCAGTGTATTGCTGATATGATTATGTATGCATTAAGGGCTGAGACTGTGAGTTGTCCGCCTTTCCCATCCCCACTCTTCACAGCTTCTTAGCGGTCTGACCTTGGGCAAGCTCTGTGAAGGGGGCAGGCTTTGCTGCTTACTGTGGGGTTGTAAAGAAAATTATGGTGGTGTTTGTGAGATGTCAGACTTGATGCCTAGCACATAGTAATAAATCTTTAGGAACTGTTGGCTAATATAATTCTTATATGCAGTCCTACAGTTGAGATGAAGTCTTCTTCCACACAGGCTGTGTTCTATTTGGAGATGAAAAATGTTTGTAATTTCACAGCCTTTATTTTATATCACTTGTATATAATTTACTGTTTTTAGTAACTTTTGTTCCAATTTTCTGGGATTTAAAAAATACATTAACTAGAGGTTAGAACTACATTGTGTTTTCCAGTCTTAAAAATTAGTACAGGAATTATTTTCTAAACAAGCTTATCACATACGTATATCCTAAATTTTTAAAGAATAGTCTGAGGAAAATTCTGTCATATACAACTATAAAACTAAAAGAAAAAGAAAAAAAGTCATACTACCTAATACAGGGTTTGTAAAAGGATTTATAATTATTTCAGTTTTATAATTTATCATTTTTTCACCCTAGGCCTGGGAAACAGTGAGACTAGAGTACATGGATAATCCCACTGTTATTTCTTCATACAGGCAAAAGCTAATCAGCTATTTCACCTTGCAGCTGAGGTATTATTAATATCTGAGTTTTCTTCTGTAACACTCTTTGTGTCCTGATTTCTGGTTTTTAGCTTGTAGCTTAAAGTATAAAAATTACGAAATTATTATGAAAAAGACTAAATCTTTTCCCTATTCTGTTAATGTCTAAAGGACAAAAGATGATCTCATAAGAAAGTCTTTTAATGTCTGCACATGGTTTAAACTTGAGTGAGAGCATTGCAGGATCATTTCATTATCTTCATTTTATTCCACTTAAATAGTTTAAAATATGTGTACATGTGTGTCTGTGTGTATATTTGGATACTTGTGGATTTTCTAAATAATTCAATTTTAGGGGAGTACCTTCAAAGTATGGAATTTTTAAGTCCTGAGATTTTGATTTCTCTTACTGCCTTTCAGTAATGTTTTGTCACCTTGCCCATAAATTTAGGTGCAGGGAAGAGTTTGGTTATGATTATTTATTTATTTTAATAGATTGGCCAAACTTCTGATTTTGACCTGAGTTTTAGGTTATACTTAGAGATGTGTGTGAAATATACCCCCGGGCATCTGTCTGAAGCCTTCGAGGCTTGCTTGTTGGAGGGTGGTGTCACTCAGTGTTGTCTCCTCCCTGCAGTCAGGACAGAGTGACATGGAGAAGCGCGGATGAGCTGCCCTGGCTTTTCCAGCAGCAGGGAGCTAAGCAGAAGCTGCACGACTGCCTTCTCAATCTCTTCGTGTCTCAAAACCTTTACAAAAGGTATTCCAGGATTCTCTCTCCAGAAGGACAAACTTGAATGAGTATTCCATTTAACAAAGGAAAAATGGCATTTTTAATTTAAAAATTAGTCTGATTTCAGTGATACCTGAAATATAATGTGGGACAAACTCTGAGACGGTTTACGGCTTGTGGCTGAGATTTTTGCCCAGGAAGAAAATAGCAAGAGTATTGCTGCTTTGTACAACCAGAGCAGGAATGATGAAGCTTTTTGTCTTGTACTTCGTCAGGTCAACAACTAAACCTCCCAGAGTGGTGCTTCACAAAGTCTGCTTTTTAGGGCCTTCACTGTCTCAGAAGCATAACCTTTCAGCCAAACTCTGGGCTCCTAATGGAATCTGACTTTGTGTTGAATTTAAAGAATCACCCTAATTCATAAATATATTCTGTCTGTCTCTTAATATGTTTTACTGAACTACCTTTCTATGAGCCAGCTTCTGACCTACTAAAGCCTCAGGAGGGGGTTTTGCTTCCTCATTTAAAAACTTAGACATTTCTTAGGCTGGGCATGGTGATTCATGCCTATCTATAATCCCAGCACTTGAGAGGTGGAAGAAGGAAGCTGCTTCAACTTTGAGACCAGCCTGGACTACATCATGAGTTCAAGGCTAGCCTGAACTATACAGCATGAACCTGTCTCAAAAAAAAGAAAGGAAGAATAAAAAAGTAGACATTTCTCAATAAAATAGCTACACAATTTGTTCCTGAATGAACACTTTCAAATTTCCATGTACCTCTCAAATTATTCTGATTTCCATTCCAATTTTTCAAGATTCCTTTGAGATCAGATTTGTTCATTAGGTTACCACCTCTCTCATCCTACTGAATATCATCTGCAAATGAGCAAACTTACTTTTATCACTCAGTTCCTTGACAAAAATACAAAATGGATAGTCTATATGGCTGCTTGCCTGTGTTTTGTTAGTTTATTCTGTCGTTTCTGGAGTGAACTCAGCAGTTCACTGCACCTCATGAAATGTCTGAAAAGAATTCAGATGAGTTTCCAGGGCTGGGTAGTCATGATAATGGCCCGCATTGTGTAGGACTCGCTATGCACCAGAATCTCCTCACAGCAACACCCGGGCAGGTAGTGTAGTGGACCCCTTTCTGCAGAGGAGGCGGTGAGATGGAGGGCATATATCTGCCTGAGCTCACACAGCCCGGAGTAGTGGGACTCAGAGCCTCACCTCAGTGTGCTTGCTTGCCTACAACAGTGTGCTTGCTTGTCAATAACTTGATATGAATTCTGGGATCTTTGTTCTATAGTGGATTCTAAAGTTTGTTTTTCATTAAATTGCCATTATTTGTTGAAACAGAGGACACTTTGCTGAGTTGCTGAGCTATTGGCAGTTTGTTGGCAAAGACAAAAGTGCGATGGCAGCAGAATACTTTGATTCATTGAAGCAGTATGAGAAGAACTGTGAAGGCGAGGAGAACATGATTTGCTTAGCTGATCTATATGAAACACTAGGGCGATTTCTCAAGGACCTAGGCCTTCTCAGTCAGGTAACCTAACAGGAAGTTAGAGACAGGGTGGGCTTTCATGTTTTCTCTGCCCTCCTTCCTCTAAGGAAGTAACACAGCTCCCTCTGGTGGTGGTCAGACCTTTCATAGCTAACAGGTGACAGCTCTTGCAGCACTCTGCTCACTTTCATCAACCTCTCACCTTTTGTCCCCAGGCTGTGGTGCCTTTGCAGAGGTCTCTAGAAATTCGAGAAACGGCTCTAGATCCAGATCACCCAAGAGTAGCCCAGTCCCTTCACCAACTGGCAAGTGTGTACGTGCAGTGGAAGAAGTTTGGCAATGCAGAACAGCTATATAAGCAGGCCTTGGAGATCTCAGAAAATGCTTACGGTGCAGACCATCTGCATACTGCTCGAGAACTTGAGGCTCTTGCAACTTTGTACCAAAAGCAAAATAAGTAAGATGGAGCTCAGTAACATTGTGATTATATGAAGGGAAATTAGTTTTTTTAATGTGCTAATGTGGTTGGGATTGTGTACTTACCCTATGCATCACGTCTTACGGTGCAGACCATCTGCATACTGCTCGAGAACTTGAGGCTCTTGCAACTTTGTACCAAAAACAAAATAAGTAAGATGGAGCTCAGTAACATTGTGATTATATGAAGGGAAATTAGTTTTTTAATGTGCTAATGTGCTTGGGATTGTGTACTTAACCTATGCATCACCTTCAGATAGTTTCTTGATCTGTGTATTCTGGAGTAGGCAGAAAAAATTAGAATTACGAGATTGTCTCTAATTGAAGATGTATGAAGGATGGAGCATGGACTTCAAGTCATACATTCTTGGGTCTGAATCTGTTCTTTTCCTGGTTGGTTGACTTTTGAGTATGCTACGAATACAGGGCCAGCAAAATCCTACCTACAAGCCAAGTCTGTTTTTGTAAATAAGATCTTATTGAAACACAATCATATTTTTTCATTTTATATATTATCTCTGGTTGCTTCTGTGCGGTAGTGGCAGAATTCTTAGTTGTGACAGAGACTGTCTTCCAGCATCTAAAATGTTAACTGTTGAGTCCTTTACAAAAAGTTTGCCAATCCCTGGTGTAATAAAGATACTTCAGGACGAGGATATAGCCCAGTAGTAGTACTTGCCTGTTAGGCAGAAGGCCCTGGGTTCAATCCCAAGTATTGTTAAAACAAAGGCTTTTTAAAAAGGTTTCCGTATCTGTCAGGCACACGATGAATAGCATCACTTTCTCTATAGAAAGTGCTTCTCTTTCTCCATCATAAGTGAAACAATGAAAATTTTTCTTTTAACTTCTACAAATGTGTCATATAAATTATGTGCAAATTGCACATTTGTATTCAACCAAAAATTAGCCTGTGTAGGAAATGTGTGTAAACCAAAATTTTGTATTTTCATTTAATTAAGTTTCACAGTAGACATTAATAATGAGTTAAATCACTTAAAACTAAATGTCAACTACCAACTACTTTAAGACTAGCTTTATTTTGCTTTGTTAGACTGTCTTATGAAGGTTTTGTTGAAACTTTTGAACTGCATAGACTTATTGTATTTAATAGCCAAGACAGGCCTTACATTATGTAAGGAGTACTTTTATTTCATTAAGGGATACTTTGTGCTTCTTTTGTTTGATTTAACATACTTTTTTTTTTTTTAAGATATGAGCAAGCTGAACATTTTAGGAAAAAATCCTTTAAAATTCGTCAGAAAGCTACAAGGAAAAAAGGCAACTTGGTAATAAGAGCTTTCTTCTGTTTTATATTTTGAACCAAGGGAAAAACATCTTTGAATATCATAAGTACATAAATCTTATGTTTAAGAGCTTTAGATTTTAAAGTGACTTCTAGAAAAGCACTGATTAACATTTTTATTTAAATGCATTTAAATATTAATATTACTAAAAGTACAACTTAGTACACTTTTGAAAAGTAGGTTGATGAAATTCATTTGAAAGTTAGACTTGGGCCAGGGATTTAGCTCAGTGGTTCTACCGCATGCCTCTCAAGCACAAGGATCAATTCCTGGTACCAAAAAACAAACAAAAGCAAGTCAGGCTTTGAAAGTTGAAATTTAAAGCTACTTTGATTCTTTTTTGTAAAGGATCAGAAAAGGCAATAAAAATTTTAATTAACATTTTATATTAGATTAAGATGTGAAGGCATTCTTCCTTTTGAGCACACACACGTGCAAACATACACTTTCTAAGTTTTGGATCATATTTAAATAGAGCCCACTTGTTTAAGATGTTGTGTGCATTTTAAGAGCCTATTAGTTATGTGTTTATCCATGCTGTTAGTAATTATCTGCATGTTAATTGTTTCCTAATTTTTTGAAGCATTTTGAGATACCAGGGTTGATAAAATAATTACAGTATGTAATTTTAATAAAATGCATTTAAATAAAATTTATTTCAGGAAAAGAGAAGTTGCCATTAGTCCCCCTCAAAATATTCTCCCTCATTTCAAACATAACTTATCCTTGCCCCTTTCTGAAGCAGTCCTGAAGTCCTCTTTTGTGGTGCCTTTACAGAATGTGGTCAGAAACACTGCTGCCAGTGCCACCTAATGGAAAGGCTGGCTCATAAAAACATTACAGTGCGCCCCTGTCTACCTTATTTGCTTAGTCTGGCAAAGGTAACATTTTGAATCAATTCAGGCTATGAAGGCAGCCATGACAGTGAAACTAAAGACACTCGTGAAAGAGGAATTGCAGAACTGCTTCAGAAAGTAGCCAAACAATGGGAAAAGTGTGTTAGAAGCAAAAGCATTTTGATGGGGTATAATAACAGTGTATCTCTTATTTAATAAGTTTAAAAAAAAAAACTTAAACATTCACCATATTTCTTGATCACACCACATACACTTTGCTAAAATGTCTCATAATCATTTTCACAGACTAGTTTTCAATGAATTTGAGAATCTAGTGCCATGAACTCAGTGTACTGTTTAAAATAATTGTCCTCTAGATGAAAGGAATAAAGATTCTTTAGAACTCCAGCAAATGGTTTCAGACAAGGCTGGCACTCAGTGACTATGTTGACACTTGTGCTTGTTCCAGTACGGATTTGCCCTTTTACGCAGACGGGCCCTGCAGTTAGAAGAGCTTACGTTGGGTAAGGACACACCTGATAATGCCCGGACCCTCAATGAACTGGGTGTTCTCTACTATCTTCAGAATAACCTAGAGTGAGTACCAAGGTGTTCATCATGAAACAAGTTTCCATTTGTGTCTTCAATATAAAACTGTCCCATATCAGGTCCGAAGCTAGATAATATTATACCTCATTTCATGTGTGATATCAGGTTATGAACATGTCCATATTTAAAGATATATTTTCTCTAATGATTCCTTTTCATGTTGCCTATGAACTAAAAAGGTATTCTACAGCTTCCCTAGTATGTTTTTTATATTTGTGAAAAGTAAATTAATATAGAGATAGTGAGATCTCACAGAAGAAACTTCAAACTAATGGAGAACAAATAAAAGAATGTAGATAGCTGCTAGTTTTATGTTTTAATTTTATTTGAATATAAAGGATTCAAAATGACTTTATACTTTGTAAAAAAGAAGTGTTTTTTTACACCTCTTTAGATTCCAGAAACATCTAACAAATTTACAATTTAGGCTGTGAGAAAAATACAACAAATATTTAGCCCGTTTCACAGAAGATTCATTAACAGTGCAAACTCTAAAGTGAAATAATAAATGCCAGAATCTTTTTTTTTCTTAGCTTAGGTGTAATCACTGTAAAGGAATCTGACAAGTATAAAAATGTTGTTGTGTAAGATATCTGTGGCTTGCTGTTAGGGAAAGTGGGTGAAGGCAGAACAGTCATCCAGACACCATGGGAAGCTAGGGGCGGGAAAAGAGGGTGAGTGAAATCAGGCCGCTCTGGATGAATCTTAGAATAAAAACATTCAGAGGGGCTGGGGATTTAGCTCAGTGGTTCTGCCACCTGCCTTGCAAGGGAGAGGTCCTGAATTTGATCCCTGATATAAAAATAAATAAATATATACAACCATCGTGTTTAAAAGAAAAAACATTCAGGTCTCTGTTTTAGGGCTCAGGACTCTGATCTGCGCTAGAGAATACACTGTTTAAGCCATTTTGGGGTTTTGTTCACAGAACAGCTGACCAGTTTTTAAAGCGTTCTCTAGAGATGAGGGAGCGCGTTCTAGGACCCGATCACCCTGACTGTGCCCAGTCTCTGAATAATCTGGCTGCTCTGTACCATGAAAAGAAGCAGTACGATAAAGCAGAGGAACTCTATGAGAGAGCTTTGGACATTCGGAGAAGAGCCTTAGCTCCGGATCACCCTTCGTTAGCTTATACAGTGAAGCATCTTGCGATCTTGTATAAGAAAATGGTAAGTAACCCTTCTCAGCCTTGCATGCTTATACTGTGTCAGTTAACCCTGAGTTACTGTCAGCAAATTAGCTTTCTGACAGATAGGCTATGATCTTTTAAACAATCATGACGATTGTTTTTAAACAAGTAGCTGAGAACATTTACAAATATTATGGAGCCCTTTTACGCTCTTGGAGGGAATATAAACAAGTAGAGCCACTATGGAAATCAATATAGAGATTCCATAAACAAACTAAAACTAGAAATTTCATTCAGCCCAGCTATTTCCTTCTATGCAACATGCAACCCATTTTTTTTTTTTTTTTTTTTGGTACTGGGGATTGAACTCAGGTCCTTGCGCTTCTAAGGCAGGCCACCGAACCTCTGAGCTAAATCCCAGGCGCATACCCATGTTTATGGCACCACAATTCATAATAGCTAAATCTTGGAAACAGCCTCTGTGTCCATAGACAAATGAATAAAATGTGGTATTTTCATGCAGTGGCATACTACTTTGCCATACATTTGAGTCATTCACATGGTTACTCTTATATAAGAAACCCAAAATATAAAGAAAGAACAAGATAAAAGATAATGGGAAGTAGGCAGGTAGATCTTTCAAAAGAGGGAAGGGGATCAGGAGATGGAAGTAGAAGAAAGGGAGGTGAAGGCAAAGGTAAGAAAAGAATTATGTGTTATGTACAGATACCAAGTCCCCACAAGGAGTGTGATAATATTATCTCAGACTGAATGAAATTAAGGATATTGATTTGGTTTTGTGAAGATACATTTTAAATGCACATCTATTCATCACCATTCTGAATTAAACTTGTTACCTTTCAGAAATTCTAAGTTCCACTTTGCTACCTTTATTTTTCTCCCCATTACTACCTTTGCTACCATAAACATAACAAATCATCTGTAAATTAAGAGTTCTGCAGCACATCTCCTTTAACATATTTACCCTTCTGAAGAAATATTTAATGATGAGGGAGCCTAAAGGGCCTTCCACATTATCAGAGGAATGTTTGTATACTTGGTATAGCTTTGCTTACAGATTCTATTAGATTCTCAGTTAAACCATTGAACTGGAAGAAAATGTTTCTAGACTTTTTCTCTCAAAACTACTTTTTAATACAAAATTTTGTGTATGAGAGAAGCTCTGTTTGATAGTGTTAATTTCTGTTAGCTTGCACTTTTGTTTTTTAGGGGAAACTTGACAAAGCTGTACCTTTGTATGAATTGGCTGTTGAAATTCGGCAGAAATCCTTTGGCCCAAAGCATCCTAGTGTAGCTACTGCCTTGGTGAACTTAGCAGTTCTTTATAGCCAAATGGTAAGTTTCCACATTTCAGCTCTTCATAAATGAATGGTTTTAAGGTATAAAACATGAATTAGTAGCACAGTAAAAATAAAGAAATTTTAAGGTTATTATTTAATGCTTCCTTTTCTAATACTTGAGAAATTATTGACATTAGATTTATAACTTCAGTTGGTGTTTCTGTTTAGTTCAGAACATAGGCTTAGTTTTTTAAATTCTGGAGTATCCTTCATCTACCTACAGAATATCTAATGTGTAGCATCTACCTGTGGTACCCATCAGGTAATAAAGAAATGGGTTCACCTGCCTGGCAGGTATGAGGCCCTGAGCTCAATTCTCAGTACCAATAAAAACAATTTAATTTAATTTAAAAAAATAAGCGGTTTGTGCTTAATGTTGGCTTAAGGCAAAATGAATATTAGTCAGATCTAAAACTTAAGATTTTGACTTTCTGTTATACTACTTCTCCCATTATGATTGTTTGTAAATTATCCTATTCCCCTCCTCTACAAGAGAATAGTAATATTTTTAAAGTGTTTACAAAAGTGGGAAGGGTAGAGGAAAGGAAATAAGGAAAAAACAAATATAAGAAAAGGAAAAAATGGAAACAAAGTCTTTGGAAATAGGGGAGGGGGAGGAGCTGAAGGGAGGGCAGGGTTATAGGGAAAAAATGAGAACCAAGACCTGTCATGTAGAGGTACAAGATCCCAATGATGAATCTGTACTGTATACTTAAAAAGTACCAATAAACTCAATGAGGGGGAAAAAAATAAAGTGTTTATGAAAATAGATCATCTTAAGTAGAATGCACTGAGTAATTTAGAAACCCAGTTTGTTTAAGGGGACACTTTTACTTTTTTTTCATAAGAAAAAGCACATTGAAGCCTTGCCATTGTATGAAAGAGCATTAAAGATTTATGAAGATAGCCTGGGTCAGATGCATCCTCGAGTTGGAGAAACATTAAAAAATTTAGCTGTGCTTAGGTAAGAATTCTCACTTTCTTCATACAACCCAACACTTAGAGTAGCAGTGATTCATTACAGAGAAGTACAAAATATTTTTTTGCTGAATATCTCTTCTTGGAAGGGAGAAAGGTGGCTTTTTGCTGGTCTGCTTCAAGAGCTATGTTGCGTTTTGCTTGTTTCTTTGTGTTTATCTCAGGGTGCAGATAATAACTTCGTTAACAGCTTCACTGCATCCATTACAACATGGTCTTAATGGTGTACATATGAGACATAGAAGTGTTCCACAGTGCAGACAGAAAGGAGAGCCTTCAGGTCTCTTGTTCATGGATCTGCCTGAGTGAATATAGTGGGAAAAGGAGCAACTATTCACAGCTTGTTTTTCTGTGTCCCATAAAGTCATTTAAAATTAAGAGCTTAAAATTTCTCATGTTTTCCTCTCAAAGCTATGAAGAAGGGGATTTTGAAAAAGCTGCTGAACTGTACAAAAGGGCAATGGAAATAAAAGAAGCAGAAGCATCACTCTTGGGTGGGAAAGCTCTTTCGAGACATTCATCAAGTGGAGACACTACTAGCCTAAAAACGACTCATTCTCCTAATGTTTTCCTTCCTCAAGGACAAAGGTAACAGCAGCAACAGTTCTTCACAAATGTACCTTAGGATAAAGTAATTAAACGTTTGGAGCATTAGAATTAAAAACTTAAAATATTTTTTAAAAAATTTATTTTTACTGAGTGTTCCATAACTGGCACTTGTGTGAAGTTGCATTGAACCGAGTTGAACTTTGAGTTGTGATTGTGTCACTTGTACAGTCAGTGGGTATAGACACATTTGCACTCTAAAATGACATAAACGGATCATGAGGAGTGTGCGAATCTGGTTTGTCTGAGCTGGCATAGCAGTCGAGAGCAGGAGCTCCCTGGTTCTTTTCTCTCAAGTGTAACTTCAGCGTTGGCAAGTTCATTCCTTGTTTTTTTCTCATCAGTGGTCTGGCCTAGTTTTCCGTCTCAAAGGAAAGTTAGAAGAATTAAATGGATAATGCTCATGAAAGGTTTGAATTGTCAGCAGTGAAACAAACTAGCCACAAGAATTTCTGATTGCTACATTATTTTCTTACTCTTTTTATGCTACTTTTTCCTCAGCAGATTGGGCCCAGGTCCTTGTTACCTGTGCTCTCTTCATTGTCTCTTATTTATTACCATTATGATACCTGCATAATGTCTAACGTCTTATGGGCAGTAATACAGCAAGCTCTTCAGCATTCTTCCACCTTTCCCAAAAATGTACATGGTTGGGGTTGGCTGTGTAGCTTGGCAAAATGCTTGTCTGGTGTCCACAGGTTCTGGGTTAGATCTTTAGCGGACATGCATGCACACACACAAAGATGGGACATTATCTGCTTTCTTAAAACTCTCTTCATTTACCTCAAATTCAAATTAGTCTACCATTTTTATACTGAAAGTTAGGTATTTTTATAGTTTTTATAAATATTGTTGCATTTGGATATTGTTTTTATACCATTTATATATTTATAGACAGTAAATTTTTCATTAATTTTTGTAAGATTCTAATATGAACTGTTAAAGTATATTTTTCTGTTTTGAAATAAAAGTGCAATTTCGGGTTCTTTTTACATGAGGGTGACATTTTGCATAATTAAAGAAATACATTGAACTTTTTTTAAAAAAAGACTTGGAATGCTGTCAACACTGAGTAGTTTGCTCAAAGTGAGAAACTTCCATGCCACAGTAGGATGCTGATTCCTGTCCTCTGAGGCCCTGCTCTCACAATTTGTCCATGAAACCAGTGTCTCCATTTGGGATCGCCTTAAATATTCATGCTCTGAGAACTGCTGAGCAGGATCTGCATTTAACTGGATTCATCTGCACATATGTTTGAGGAGCATTGGTAAAACTCTAAGGCACTGTGGTGGTAATTTAAAAGCAAGTAAGATCTTATAAAATGATCATCCTTCTTTGCCCTTTTGGGGTAGATTAAGATGGGGAGAAAGACAAAATAAGACCAGAACATATCTCTCTGGATTTGATAGCTATGCAGGTACAGATAACTGAGTTCACAAATATACCAGACACTGCTTTGAGATTAAAGCTGTTAGATTAAAATCTGATTATTTGGTGGTATAATTTAATGTATTGTAAGTATTATATTACATTTACTACCATTAAAAACCTGCTTTAGGAAATAATCTGAGACTAGTACTCTGAAAGAACCTGGAAAAGAGTTTAAGACTAATATATACTTGGCCTGGCGTGGTGGGGCATTTTTGTAATCCCAGCAGTCTGGGAGGCTGAACTACCAACATGTATTTTCATGAGAATGCCTGCTAATAAAGATAAAAAGTAGCTGTAACAGGTATCTCCAGGTGTGTACATACAGTCACGGTTCTCAAATAGGTATACTGTGTTCATTAACGTCCATCTTCAAGACAAAATGTTAACTTGTGGAAAATCAAATTGAATTGATTTTACTGGTTACAGTTAATCTTCAATACCTTACAGAAAGGAAAATATGAAAAAGAAAAATGATTTGGGGGAAGTAAACCCTTGCTTAATATTCGCAAATAGCACATTTTCATGTTGGTCAGTGTGACTATGGGTATTCAGGGAGTACTTTTATGAGAAGAGATCTATAAAAAATTTTTCTACATAGAAAATTTTAGCAGAGCCATAAGTTAACTTCTCAATAATAAGGGAATTAAAATGGAATGATTTATTGTTTAGAGTCTCTGTGCTAAGGCAGTATAGGGTCTGCTTTTTCATCTTTCCTAGTAGAATCAATAGTATTTATAAATTTGGCCAAACTCCACAGGTTTATTTAGCAATGCACAATTCATTGATCAGTGTCTCATAATCAGCTGAGTACTTATACAAGTTTTTCTGATATGAAGACAGTCAACAGAACACTCAGGGTTGTGACAATACCTGTTTCCAGATTTCTGTCTGGTAAAATAATCCTGGTTTTAAATGAAACATGTTAGAAAGTGAGATTAAATTATGTAAAATTGGATGCAGTGTATGTAAGATACAAGCAGGGATGCAATGCCAGTTTAGAGGAAATAAAATGTCTCGCAGATTGACGGGTCTTTGTACTGGATTAAACCAGAAAACTTAATTGTAAATAAAACTTTATCAAATTAAGGCATCAGTTTCCAAAGGAGAATTATCAACTCAACAGCAATCCTCCTGCCTCAGCCTCCTGAGTACTGTGATTGCAGGCATGTGCCACTATACCTGGCTTGCATTCATTTTCAAAATTCAATACATTTCTAGTAACTAGAAAATGATATTCTATAATTCAATTATATATATATACATATGTAAACTCAGGGCCTATGGCAGGCTAGGCAAGTGCTATAACCCTGAGCTATATCCCTAAGCTTATTTTTAAGACAGGGATGTGTAACAATGTCTAGGCTGGCCTCAAACTTGTGATTCTCCTGCTGCAACTTCCTGAGTTGCTGAGATTACAGGCATGTGACTTTGTGCCTGGTTAAATACATCATATTTAAAAAAATGGTAACAGACTTAATAAGGCAAATTGGGGAAACCACACCTTTCACAATAACATCCAAAAAAACCAAAATACCTAGGAATCAATCTAACAAAGGAAGTAAAAAACGCCTGTATTGAAAAACTATAGTACTCTGAAAATAAAAAAGATCAAAGAGGATATCAGAAAATAGATATCCCTTGTTCTTGGGTAGGAAGAACCAAGTGAAAAATGGCCATACTTCCAAAATTGTTATACAGATATAATGCAGTCCCAATCAAAATTCCAACAGCATATATCACAGAATTAGAGAAAACAATCCTAAAATTAATTTGGAACTAGAAGAGACCTAGAATAACAGGCAATTCTAGGCAATGAAAATAAGGTGGGGGCATCACAATCCCTGCCTTGAAATTATGCTGTGATTAAAAAACAAAACACAAAAACAGCATGGTACTAGCAAAAAAACAGACTCAAGGAACAGATTAGAAGATGCATAAACAACTCCAGATATACTCAGCCACCTTATCTTTGACAAAGGGTCAAACACCTTCACTGGAAGAAAGATACAGCCTCTAATAAATTATGCTGGGAAAACTGGGTTTTCACTTGCTGAAGATTAAAACTAGACCCGTATCTTTTGCCATGCACTAAACTAAAATCAAAATGGATCAGAGATCTAAACATTAAAACAGAAACACTAAATCTACTGGAAGATAGGCTATGTACAACTGTTGACATTGGTGTAGGCAAAGATTTTATGAACAAAACCCCAACTGCACAGGAGCTATCACAAAGAATCAACAACTGGGATCTCCTCTTATTAAAAAGCTTTTGCACAGCAAGAGAAACCACCAACAGAGTGAAGAGAAAACCTGCAGTGTGGGAAAAAAATCCTCAGATTACTACATAGAATATATAAAGAGCTAAAAAAAAAAGAGACCTCCCCCCAAATTTAAAGACCCAGTCCAAAAATGGGCATCTAAAATGAATACACACTTCTCAGATGAAGTAGTAGAAATGGCAAATAAATATATGAAAAAATGTTCAACATCACTGGTCATTTGAGAGATGCAAATTAAAACAATGCTAAGATTCCATCTTCAGAAGGAATGGCTGTTATTAAGAAATCAACCAATAACAAATGTTATTGGGGTTGTGGGAAAAAGAAACACTTCACTGTTGGTGCGAGTGTAGACTAGTGTAACCATTGTGGGAATCAGTGTGGAGATACCTCAAAAGACTAGGATTAGAGGTCCCATCTAACCCAGCTATTCCCCTTCTTGGTATCTTCTCAAAAGAATTAAAGGCATCATACCACAGCAATGTATGTATACCCATGTTTAGAGTGGCAGTTTGTAACAGCTAACTCTTGGAAACAGCCCAAATGCTCATCAACTGATGAATGGATAAAGATGTGTTTTGTGTTTTTTTTTTTTTTTTTTTTTTTTTTTTTTTTTTTTTGCTTTTGATACAATGGAGTACTACTCAGCTACAAAGATAAGCTGGAGACATTTCTAGGTAAATGGATACACCTTGAGACCATACCCTTTAAGCGAAATAAATTGGACGCACATATAAATATCACATTTTCTGGTGTGAGAAAATGAAGTGCAAATTGAGGACCAAAATGTATAATAGGTATTGTGAAATAGGAAGAAAATGTTCAAATGGGTTGGAGGGGGTGGAAACAAAGCTTTCGTAAATGAGGGGAAGAGGGTTGAAGGGAGGATAGGGATTTAAAGGCTAGAAATATTCTCCCATTTCCTAGTTTCACTGTAAACAAATATGACATAATCCTAGAATCTCAAAAGTAATACACTGAACATATTTCTAAAATAAGTTTTTAGAATGTTTACAGATGGGGAATGTAATTTTTTTTACATTTTTCATTTATAGATATAATTTAGACATATTGTCAAAATCAAAATCAAAATCATTAAAATAGATTAGCATAGAACAGTCTACTGGTAATGTTATACTTGCATGTTATTTACTGGTCTCCAAACCCATTGGGAGTTTACTTCAACCAATGCTCTGCAAGCCTTCATCATTTGTATGCAACTACAGAGGAAATCTGTTTCTATCAGTTTATAGTTTAGTGGTCACAATCAAGAAATGACTTTTTCACAGAGTAAGTACATATCAGTTATTACAGAGCAATTTAAAATCTTTTAAATCCACTATCCAGGACAAACTGTGCCAGTATCTCAGTGTCTTTCCAATAAAATTTAAGTGAAGTATTCAGGAGTAGCTTTTATGATAGGCAAAATCTAGATGATCATTGTCTACACTTTTTCCTTGTTCTCCAATAAAATAGTGACTCCAGATATATATGTTGCAAATGCAGTGATTCTTTTCCTAGGAAAGCAGAATAAAACATAATTTGTACTACTCCTGAAATTACCTTCATCTGTCTCCCCATGAAGACAGCTTCCTTTTATTTGCCTTTTATTTTATGCCCGTAACAGATTTCTGCAGTGACATTTCAGCGTGTATTTCACTTGAATTTGAGGGGGTGTTTTTATTTTATATGTAACTATATTAGTCATTGTTGGTCAAATTAGTAGTAGGCAGTTTGTTTATAAGGAGCAATTCCAAGCAATGAGTAAATGCTTGCTAGCTCTAATCAGTACTTGTACTTCTTGTCTCTCTCCCTATTTTTTGTACTACTTTATCTTCCATGTCCTCAGGCAACAAAGCATGAGATTACTGGAAAGAAAATGAATAGAGGATCAGATTTGCCCCCCACCAAAGGCCATTCATTCATTGATTTACTGTGGTACTGGGCATTTAACTCTGACTACATCCCCACGCTTTTAATTTTAATTTAATTTTTAAAAATTTTGAGACAGGGTCTAAGTCACTAGGTTGCCCAGCCTGAATTAGAACTTCTAAACTCCTGCCTCAGCCTGCTGGCTGGCTAGGAAAATAGGCATGTGCCACCACCTGGGCTTCAATGGCTATGTTTTCATTAAGATTTGTAACTGCCTTCAAGTCTTGAGGTCATGTGTTTTAGGAGAGTATAGTTGTAGGACAGGCAGAATGAACAACACCCACAGTATTTTCATAAAGAACAGTATAACAATTCAATCAAATGGTATACATCAAGTAATGTTGCCCTAAATTGTATTAGTTTTGAACTTTTAAAAGTTTAGTAATGGGATTGAACACAATAAAATAAAATATATGCCAGTCCATTATCTACATATTCTTCATCTTGGCCATGAGGTCTTCTAAGCTTTCACCAGAATCTTCCACTGTAACTTGAGATACAGAATCTTCTTGCTGTCAACATATGAGTGAAACACAATGAAAAACAGCATATAAAATTATGCTTATAAATCAGTAAACTTTAACCATTCTCAATAAATATATAAAGCAAATTATCTAGTAAATATGCCTTGTAGTTTTTAGGAGACCCAAAGTCCTTGATTTTCCCACCAGCATTTGATTTATCAGGCAGTGAGTGTAATATTCTTGACATCTCTGCTGAAGGGTTTTTAATTCCATAAAACTACATACAGGGTACTTTGTGACACTTTGATATATATACACATTGTATAATTTTCACATCAGAGTGGGCACATCTGTTTCCTGAACAGTTATCATTTCTTTGGTGAAAACGTTCAAAAATCTTTTAGCTTTTTGTAGTAGAGCACACAGTACATTAGTATTACCTATAGTCACCCTACTGTGAAATAGAACACCCAACCCAAACTCATTTCTCCTATCCATCTCTAACTTAGTAGCTGTTGACCAACCTTTCCCTGTTCCTTCTTCCACTTACTCTCCCCAGTTCTGGTAACCATCAAGTCTTGTAGATTCTACAAACAAGTAAGGTACTTTGAGCGAGGTACTTTGTGTGCCTGGCTGGTTTCACTTAACATGATAACCTTCATTTCCATCTGTGTTGTTACAAATGATAGGATTTCATCCTTTTATGGCTAAATACTATTCCATGGTGTATATATGCCACATATTATTTATCCAACTTAACCAAAAGACAAGTTAGATGGATTCCCTTTCTTGGCTATTGTGAATAGTGCTGTACTAAACCTGGGAATGCAGATGTCTCTTCAGCATACTGATTTCACTTCCTTGGAATATATACCCTGTAGTGGGACTTCAGAGCCATATATATGGTAATTATGTGAGAAACTTCAATACTATTTGCATAATAGCTGTACTAATTTACGTTTCCACCAGTAGAATGTAGAGTTTCCTTTCTTGCACATCCTTACCAGGACTTGATAATCTTTAATCTTTTGTCTTTTTCATGACAGCCATTCTAACTGAAGTGAGATGATACTGCACTTGATTTTGATTTGCATTTCCCTGATAAGAAATGTTGAACATTTTTTTAATATACCTGTTTTCCATTTGTATGTCTCTCTCTAGAAGGCCCTGCAGATTGTTTACTAAAATGGTGTTGTAGACAAAACTATACACAAAAACAGTATTTTTATTTAACCAAGAACTATTGATCCATTAATGAGTAAACAAAAGCATTTTACTTCTGTGTTTTCAAAGAATTTAAAATGAGCTGTATGTACCCCGTATGAACACTGAATACCTCTCATATCTTAATGTACAGTGTACGGTATCTGAAACAGAAAACACTGCCCTGGCATTACAAAATAGAATGAGAAGATAAATATACATTTTCTCTACCTGATATTTACTTATGAGTAATTACATTTTAGAAATACCTTTTTTGGAATTGTATATGCCACTCTAATTCCTTCCGGTAATTCAGGAACTGGACCTGAAGAATTTTTCAGTTCTTCTTCTGAAACCTCAGATACCAGCTCAATACCTGTAGAATTAAATTTGAAACTTCATAAGCAATAATTATTCAAAATTTGCAAAATCTTACATTTCCTACCACAAAAGATTTTTTAATGCAACTACTACAATTTAGAAGAGAATTCCTACCCCATTCATTATCCTCATGTATTATCTTGTCCTCCTCTTGAACAGCCTCCTGTTTCGGCAGTGACACCACCTTTTTCTGTGGAAATCAAACAGTATCAAAGTATTTTCACTTTCTTATTTCTCTGAAGTATTAATTCAGAGAATTTGTAACTTACCAAAAGCAACAATTTTCATTTTTAATATGAATAAGTCAAAAGAATAACAAATCCTGAATTCATTTGTATTTCAAATGTTTCTTTTTTAAAAAATTTATTGTCCGATGTAATATGATCCCTCATGGGACTCTCTTCCTGGTTCTCAAGGTTTTTGAGGAGGGGAATCAGGCTCCCCAGAAGCAAGGTAAGTGCCCAGGGCTGGGAAATCCAGGGAGAAAGAGCAGCAGAGCCCATAGTTTATAAACTACAAAAACAGCATGGGGTATTTTCCAAGGGGACTCTTTCCACACAGCAGGAAACAGCTGGAGAGAGATTCAAGCTCAAACACCCACTATATCACCAGAGTGCTTTTTCAGGTTCCACTGGAGAAGGGGTTGATTACTTAAATCTCAAACTCAGAACAACTAAAAATCATCTTCACTTCAGGGCTCCTAATATTATCCTACCACAGTGACTTGGTGAGGGTGAGAGAGAGCCATGGGGACAGCTGTAGACAGGCAGCAGGCTAGAAAGAGAAATTTAAACTTGGGCCAGGAAGGACAAAGACCCCACCCAGAGTGATGAGAAGCCAGGCCCAGCTTGGGTTGTGCTCAAAAATAGCTGGGTCTGAAAGTGCTTGGTGGCATTAAGTACTTGAACCCTGGCCCTGCTGCCTACATCCAGCACAGATCTGAGGTCTGATTGCCTTCCCTATCCATCAACATGAGCAAGGACCTATTTTGGCATGGACAGTTGCCACATTTGAGGGGCCTCTGGAATGGTGGGGGGGCACAACTCATAAACCCACAGGCTGAAAGGTTAAAAGGCCAATTGAAATCAGACTTGCTCAACTCCAAAACTGCAAATACTACAAGGAAGAGTACACATTAATAAAATGCTAGCTGAGGAAAACAAAATTTTACAAAACATGAACGACCAGATTAGCAATGAACTACAGTCCATGAAAAAAGGTTCCAAATGGAAATCCTGGAGATTAAAAATTATACTGAAAGTATGCATAGCAAAAGTGAGCAATGTGAGGACAGAATATCAGAATGAGGGATGCTTTCAAAAACCAGTTATTCAGAGATACCTTAAAAATAAAACATGAAAATTGAATTCAATACCTGTTAGATGATACAAACACTGGTCTAGATTAACTGGAATAAATGAGTATCACAACATGGCACAAAAGGCGTAAGAAACCTGTTTACAGAAATAATAGCAGAAAACTTTCCAAATATTGGAAAAGAAACAGATGAGTGAGGCATATAGAACCCAAACAACCATGATCAGAGGCATATAGAGCCCAAATAGCCTAGAGAACCTCTCCACAATACATCATAATGAAAATACCGTAAGTCTAACAAAAGATAGAATCTTAAAAGCTGATAGAGAAAACAAATAACTTATAAATGTAACCCATTAGACTTAAACTGTAGACTTTGCAACAGAAGCCTTAAAGGCCAGGAAAACACAGAGTGAAGCGTTTCAAGTCCTGAAAAGGTATAACAACTTCCAATCCAGACTTTTAAATTGTGAAAAGCTGATCTTGGCGTGGTGGCCCACGTCTGTAATCCCAGCACTTGGAAAGCTGAGGCTGGAGGGTTGCCGTGAGTTCGAGACCAGCCTTAGCTACATAGTGAGTACCAGGTCAGTCTCAACTACATAGTGAGACCCTGTCTCAAAAAAACAAACAAAAAATAATGAAATAAATAAAAAATAAATTGTGAAAAGTTATCTTTCAAAATTGATGGAGAAATAAGGTACTTCCATGGCAAAGAGCACCCCAAAAACTCCATGCCCACCAAACAACTACCTCAAAATATTCTCAAGGACATCCTAGATGAAACAAGCCAATAATACCAAAAAAATCTAGTAGAATGAATATACCAGGCAGAGTGAGCAGTTAGGCAGAAGGGGGCAGGGAAGAAATAAGCAACAGGAAAATAATACAATGACAGGAATAAGTAAAAACTTTTCAGTAATAACTAACTCTCAGTGTGAATGGTGTCAATTCCCTAATCAAAAGACACAGATCACAACTGGTTCTCCTTCTCCCTCCCTCACTGCTTTGACCTACAACTGTTTTGGGTTACAAGTGGAATGAATTATTCTCATATTCAAGGTTACTGTATAAGAAACACATATAATCCAAAAAGAACTACATAGATTAAAAATTAAAGGATGGAAAACAATATTCCATGCAACAGGAGCCTGGACAAAAGCAGAAGTATGGGCAGACAAAGTGGATTTCAAGTTAAATTGATTAGAAAAGGCAAAGGTCACTCATTGGTTAAAGGAACAATTCAACAGAAAGAGATAACAACTCTAAATATATACACCAAACACTAGTGCACCAACCTTCATAAAACAAACACTACTGGACTTAAAAGATCAGATAAATACCAAGACAATCACTATGATGAGGGCCCTCAATCCACTGTCACAAATAGATCAACTAGACAAAAAATCAACAAAGAATAATAAGAGTTGAACTAAACCATCAAACAAATGGACTTGAAGTGTTCCACCCAACCACAGAATACACATTCTTCTCAGCAACATATATGATTTTCTCAAAAATTGATCACATGCTAGTCCATAAAGCATACTTACATAATTGCAAAAAACTGAAATTATATCATGCATATTATCAAATCATAGTGCAATCAAACTAGAAATCAATGCCAAACCACAGAAATTATGCAAACACATAGTCATTAAACAATTACAACAATTAGCTCTTGAGTAATCAATGAGTCAAAAAAGAAATTAAGGAAGAAATTAGTTCCTAGAATCAAATTATAATGTCAGTACAATATACTGGAACTTATGACATACAATCATAGCAATCCTAGGAGGGAAATTTATGCCTGTGAATGCCAACATCAGAAAAACAGCAAGCCCAAATAACCCAATTATATACTTCAAGATCCTAGAAAAACAAGAATAATCTAAACCCAGCTAGTTTACAAAAGGGAATTATAAAGATCAGAACAGAAATTAATGAAATAGAGTGAAACTGAGACTAGAAAATAATCCAAAGAACTAATAAATCAGAGTTGAAGAAGAGTTTATTCTTTGAAAGAATAAACAAGATAAATCCCTAGTCAACCTTACCCCCCCAACAAAAAGAAATTTAAAAAGGCAAAATTATGACAAACTCTGCCAAAATCCAAAAGATTAGAAGTATTTTAAGAGCCTGTACTTTAATAAAATGGAAAATTCAGACAAAACTGATAGATTTCTAGATATACAGGAACTACCAAAGCTGAACTAAGTAGACATGAAAACCCTGAACTATCCAGCATTAGGCAATGAGACTGAAGAAGTAACAATAATAAAAAAAACCCTATCAACTAAGAAAAGCCCAGTCCCTAATAGATTCACATCTGAATTTTGCAAGAGCTGTGGGGAAGATCTAACACCAATACTCTTCAAGCACTTTAATGAAATCAAAAGGGAAGGAGTATTCTCAAAGTCATTCTTGGAAGCTAGCATTACCTTGATTCAAAAACCAGAAAAAGATCCAACCAAAAAAGAAAATTACAGGCTCATCTCTTTAGTGAACAATGACACAAAAATTCTCAACAAGATACAGTACTGTCAAACAGGATGCAACCAATCATAAAAAATATCACATCATGACCAAGTAGGATTCTTCTAGGGATGTAGGCATGGCTCAACATACATAAATCAATAAATGTAATACATTCCATAAACAGAGGCAAGGGCAATAATCACATGGTCATCTAAATTGATCCAGAAAAGGCCTTTCATAAAATCCACTATCCTTTCATAATAAAAAACTCTGAAGGAAACAGATATAAAAGGACTTTATTCCAACCTGATAAAGCCTTTTATGACAAACCAATAGCCAACATCATATTAAATAAAGAAACGCTAGGGCTTTCCCTCTAAAATCAAGAATAAAGACAAGATGCCCACTATCACCACTACTGTTTAATATAGTTCTCAAAACATTCACCAGAGCAAGCAGGAATGAGAAAGAAATAAAAGGGTATGTATATGAAAAGGAGACTACAAATTATCATTATTTACAGATGATATGATCTGCTACTTAGAAGACCCCAAAAACTTCACGAAAAGATTCCTAGGATTAACCAAATTCAGTAGAATAGCAGTATATAAAGTCAGCACTCAAAAATCAGTAATGTTCCTATACAGCAATAATAAACTCACTGACAAAGAAATTAAGAAAACATAACTTTCACAACAGCATCAAGAAAAATGAAATACTTAACCTAACCAAAACTTGGAAATAGCCCAAATTCCCATCAATTAGATACTGGATAAAGATGTGGTTTTTTTAATAAAATGGAGTACTACTCAGCCATAAAGAATGAGAACTAGAAATATTTATAGCTGAATGGATGCACATTGAGGCTATACTCTGAAGTGAAATACACAGGACAAACTTGTGTAAATACCAAATAGTTTCTCGGGTGTAAAAAACTAAAAGTGTAAATAAGGTTCAAAATGTGTAATTGATAAGGTGGAAAAGGAAGAAAAGGTCTAAAGGAGTAGGGAAGTGGGAAGGGTAGGGGAAAGGAAAAAAGGGAAAAGAAAAAATATGAGAAAAGGAAAAAATGGAAACAAAGTCTTTGTAAATAGGGAAGGGTAGAGAGGGTAAGGGGAGGGCAGGGGTATGGGGAAAAAAATAAGAACCAAGATTATCATGTAAAGGTACAAGATACCAATGATGTACAGTTACATTTTACATACCTAAAATGTACCAATAAACGTAATGGAAGAAAAAAAATTAACTTAACCAAGTGAAAATTTCTACAATGAAAACTATAGTACTCTGAAAAAGGAGACCAAAGAGGACATCAGAAAATGGAAAAATATCTCCTGTTTCTGGATAGGCAGAACCAATATAGTAAAAATGGCCATACTTCCAAAACTGATATACAGATTTAATGCAATCCTAATCAAAATACAAATAGCATTCCTCTCAGAACTACAGAAAATCATCCTAGATATCATATGGCACCAGAAGAGACCTAAAATAGCAAAAGCAATTCTGGGTAACAAGGGCAAGGTAGGAGGAATCACAATCCAGACCTGAAGTTATACTATAAAACTACAGCAAAAAAATAGCATGGTACTGGCAAAACAAACAGACGTGGATAAATAGAACAGAATGCAGTATGCAGAAACAACTTCAAATACATTCAGCCACCTTATCTTTGACACAGACACCAATAGTTTAACAGTAGAGGAAAGACAGGCTCTTGAAATAATGATGCTTGGAAAATGGGCTATCCACATGTAGAAAGACTGAATGTAGACCCACATCCCTCACCATGTACTAAACGAAAATCAAAATGGATCAAACAGCTAAATACCAAAACAGAAACAATCAGCTGGAAGATAAAATAGGTAAAATTGTTAAAGAGACAGGCATAGGCAAGGACTTTCTAAACAGAACATCCACTGCAAAAGAGATAACACCAAGAATTAACAAATGGGATGGTATCAATTTAAAAAGGTTCTTCTGCATACAAAAGAAGCAACCAGTAAAGTGGAAAAATCTATTCAATGGAAAAAAAATTTTTACCAGCTATTCCTTGAACAGAAGTCTAATATCTAGATACATAAAGAACTGAAAAAAATTAGACCCTCTCAAAATAAAAGACTCAATCAAAATATGAGAAACTAAAATGAACATACTCCTCAGAAGAAGAAATACAGAGAGAAAAAAAAGCAGAAAAAATAAAAATGGACAATACATGAAAAAATATTTGACATCACTGGTCATTAGAGAAATACAAATTAAAATTATACAAAGACTCCATCTTAGTCCAAAAAGAATGGCCATCATCAAGAAATCGGGTAACAACTGCTGGTGAGATAGTGATGGTGGTTGGGAGGAAGGAAACCTTCATTGTTGGGAAAGCAGACTCGTACAACTATTATGGAAATCAGAATGTAGATTCTTCAAAAAACTACAACAAAAAATTCCATTCAACCCAGCTACTTCCATACGACGTTTCTTCCCAAGAGTTGAAGACATCATATTATCCATGTTTATCGCAGGACAAATGGCAACAGCTAAATCCTGGAAGCAGCCTACATGTTGATCAAAAATACAAAGATAATGTAGTCCTTATACACAACAGAGTATTACTCTGCCATAAAGAGGGATAAACTTGAGTCATTTGAAGGCAAATAGATGCACCTTGAGACTAAAGTTAAGAGAAACAAATTGAACACACAAACAAATATCACATGGTTTCTCTTATATGAGAAACTCAAAATATAAAGAAAGAACAAAATAAAAGATAATAGGTAAAGAGATGGAGGAAGGGGAAAAGGAGGGTAGGCAAAGAGAAATGCAGCTGGGAGGGAAGGGAGGATAAAAGGACATAAAAAACTACACGTTATGTACATGTACCAACTCTTCACAATCGGTGTACTCATTTATGTACTAAAACATTTACTAATTTTTCAAAAAGGCAGCATGTGGCAAGAGCAAAGGAAAAAGCATCACAAAAAGGTAAATAACTGTCAGACAATGTGACAGACTGACATATACCTTATATTCTTCTTGCTGCTTCCTGCAGTTTCTGTCATCACACTGGGGATTTGGCTTCATGGACATAGTTGGAAAAAAGTCCTGCATTGCATTGTATCCAAGGTAAAAACTAACAGTTCCAAAATTTAACAGGAACCTAGAAAAACAAATCATGGTAGACATATGTAAAGAAATAAAACTGTAAAATTACTAGAAATAAGTGAACTTTTAAAAACTGATTTGAGAGTAGGTAATAATTTTTGTAACATTTAACCCAGAAAACAGACCTGAGCCTGGCTCACACACTTTCATATTTGTTAAGTGAAGGAAGGAAAGAAAAGATTAATATATTTTATTAATTGTAAAATGCACCATGTTTTAAACTCCTACTAAAGATAAAATTCTGGCAATTAAAGTATGACATATTAAAAGTTTTTAGGAAGCACACTGATTTTAGAAATATTAAAATGTGAGGAGCATGTTTTTTAAAGTCTCTTAACTATTATATTACATCTACTTGATATTTTTAATTTATTATAAAAATAATATAAAGTATACAACCTTGAATGTATAGAGCAAAAAATTTTTGTCTTCCACTAAGTATTCCTAGTTCAAAATATTGAGCATTTCCAGCATCCCATAATCTCCTTTGTGTCCCCTTCCCTCTCAAATATGATTCCCTTTAAAAGCTTCTGTATAGAGTAAAAATCATGTATAAAACACAAGTAACAAAAGGGAAAGTACATACAAATGCATGCTTTTAATATACAATTTAGAAAAACAAAAGAACAAAGAATATTTTAAAATATAATTCACAGAAAAATATGTGTCCAACTCTTTTTATAAATAAATGGAAGCCTGCCTCACAAATGCAAGGTCCCGAGTTTGATCCCCAGTACCAAAAAATAAATAAATAAATAAACATAAATAAATAAATAGAAATTAATTTTTGTTAATCAGATTGACAAAGCCTAAAGAGCTTGATAATATCAAGTGTTATTACCCAATTACAATCAGTGAAAATGAAAATGTAATTAAATGTTTACCAACAAACAAAAGCCCAGGTCCTGATGTATTCACTGCTAAATTTTATAAGACATTTAGAGAAAAACTATTGCCACTACTCTTTAAACTTTTCACTGAAATTGAAACAGAAGCAATACTTCCAAATTCATTCCTGGAAGCAAGTATTACTTTGATTCCCAAACCAGGGAAAGACCCAACTAAAAAAGAGAATTACAGGCCAATCTCCTTAATGAATATAGATGTAGAAATCCTTAATAATATACTAGCAAACAGAATACCATGCACTAAACTAAAATCCAAGTGGATTAAAGATCTAAATATTAAAACAGAAACATTAAACTTGCTGGAAGGTAAGTTAGGCAGAACTGTGGAAGACGATGGCATAGGAAAAGATTTTAGCATGGGAACTAGAACAAAGAATCAACAACTGGGATCTCATCTTATTAAAAAGCTTCTGCACTGCAAAAGAAACCATCAACAGAACTAAGAGACAACCTACAATTAGGAAAAAAATTTTACCAGCTGGTCCTCAGACAAAGGACTATTATATAAAGAACTCAAAACCAAAATTCAAAAGAACTAGAATATATAAAGAACTCAAAAAAACCAGCCCCCCCCAAATATAAAGACCCGATTCAAAACTGGGCATCTGAAATGAACAAACATTTCTCAGACAAAGAAGTAAAAGCATCAAGTAAATATATGAAAAAATGTTCCACAGCACTGGTCATTCGAGAGATGCAGATGAAAACAACACTGAGATTCCACCTCACCCCACAAAGAATGGCTGCTATCAAGAAATCACACAATAACAAATGTTGGCGAAGTTGTGGGGAGAAAGGAACCTTTCTCCATTGTTAGTGGGAATGCAGACTGGTGCTACCACTGTGGAAATCAATATGGAGATACCTCACAGAACTAGGATTAGAGGTTCCATTTGACCCAGCCATCCCTCTGCTGGGTATCTTTCCAAAAGAATTAAAAGAATCATACCACAGTGATATATGTGCACCAATGTTTATAGCAGCACAGTTTGTAATAGCTAAAACTTGGAAACAGCCCATTTGCCCATCTGTTGGAAACTGGATAAAGAAGAAATGGTTTTTCTATAAAATGGAATACTACTCAGCCATAAAGAATGAGAAATTAAGAGTCATTCCTAGGAAAATGGATACATATTGAGGATATACTCTTAAGTGAAATAAATAAGTCACACGTATAAATACTGAATAGTTTCTCTGGTATGAAAAGCTATAATAGTACACAAGATCCTAATGGGATAATAGTGTGAAACAGGAAGAAAAGGGCTAAAGGTATAGGGAAAGTGGGAAGGATAGGGGAAAGTGAATAAGGTAAAAAAAAAAAAGAAAAGAAAAAAAAAGAAAAAATGGAAATAAAGTATTTGTAAATAGGAAAGGGAGGAGGGGGTGAAGGGAGGGCAGGGGTAAGAGGAAAAAATGAGAACCAAGATCTGTCATGTAAAGGTACAAGATCTCAATGATGAATGTAAATACTGTATACTTAAATTGTACCAATAAACTTAATGAGAAAAAAATATCAAGTGTTATTAAAGGTATGTGTGACCAGGTGCTCCTACACTATGATGGGAATGAAAGATCCTTCTACAAGGAAAACCTGTAATATTTGTTGAAATAAATTCCATTTATAAAGATTTTTTACTGTACCGAAAACCACTATTCAATGATATATGTAAGATGCTTGAAGAATTGTTATTAAAAACTACAAACATTAGTGGCCTAAATGTCCTTCAACAGAAGCTGGTTAAACATATAACATATCCGTAGGGGAATACTTTGTAGTTTCCACACTTCAAAATGTCTTGATTATATAGGGACTACCAAACTTTGTCCAGGCTATTTACTCTGATATGATATAGCCTAGATTGTTGCCTTCTTATGTGTACATTTTTCACTATTTATCACTATTATCAGAATGCTTCCTTGTATGATGTTGTAATTTGTTATTGGTTTGTGAGGCTTAGGAAATATAACTAAACTTATGAAAGTTGTACAGTGAGAAAAAAATAGCTTGTGTTAGAAGCTCTGTTTTTAATAAAATGGAAGTTGGTTCACAAACTTTGACATAAATATTAGTTGCACAGAAACTTTCTTTTTTAGGTATGGTTAAAAAGTATAGTCTGGTATCTGTTTTTGGCTAACAAAAATATTTTTCTGGTTAGTATTTACTCAAGTGCAGTTTATTTTTAGTAAGAATTAGGCCAAGACAGTGGAAGCAAATGTGCTTATGCCCCCGGTAAGGTCTGCAGAGATTTAACTCATTTGATGAAGTACAGTAATGTATTGCACAGTGATGTTTTGGTCAACAACAGACCACATATACTGCTGTAGACCCAAAATATTATATAGTCTGGTATCTGTAGCCATCTTAGTTTGCATAAGTTCATTCTATGATGTTTGCACGATGATGGAATTGATACATTTCTCATAACATATCCCTGTAGTTAAGCAGTGCATGACCAAATACAACAGGACCACTGTACCATTTAACAAGAGCTATGCAGGGAGTTACTGACATTCATGTACATATACACGTGTGTATTAATGTATGTGATCTTAATATATTAAACACATGGATATATTCATGTATACTAAAAAGTACATATATATATATAATAAGAATACACACTTATCACATATAGAATTTGAAAAATATATGCCATTAAAATTTTAAAAGTTAGATATTTAGCTGGCAGTTTAAATTTTTGAAATACTTCCTGAAATATATTTACTTTTATCAAAGCCATGCAAAACTATTCAGAAAAATTATACCTGACTTACTTTAACACATTTTGTACCAAAATCCCTGCAACAACTCCCATAGTGGTTGGAAGACTGGCTGCACAAACACCTTCTCGTTTCAGAGTCTTTTCATCAATATTTGCAGCAACCACAAGTGGTGGTGCACACTGCATGATACAGAATAAAGAAAACAATTTCAAGAGAAGTAGAGAAAAGAATGAGATGTTCCAAGTAGCATTCCATCACATTTGAGTTTGTTTTCCTTTGAATTGCAATACACTTTCAATTCCCCTTAGAATCCTATTACCTAACAATGAAAAACGATCCAAAACAAATAATGCGTACCGCAAAACAAGCAGATTCTCCAGGAATAATGAGCTGGATATGCCCTGAAACCGCATTTTCACTGACCCCAGATTCCATCCACGTTTGTCCAAGTTCATTACAAGCCTTAATAGAAATAAGTGAAAACACAAGGAAAAAATGAAAAAGCACAAAATAATTTCACTGTTTTTTGTGCAATATTAGGTTGTAACTGAATGGCCTGCCAAGAGTTTCTAAAAATTTCTTGGGTGAAAGAAGAATGCAAATAACTGAATATCCAGACAATTACCATGCTCTATTAAAGAGCAAACTATCAGTACTCAAGAGTCGGACAGTAAGTAGCTACTTAGTAAATTGAACTGTAGTGTGGAAAATTTATTTTTCTAAAGTTTCAGCAACAAAAAAAAGCAAAATATCATTTCAAAAGTTAAAAATTAAAAATTTTTTCATTTTTGAGAAATTATGTTTTTAGTCAATGTATTTATACATTTACATAAGGTAAAAAGTTAGAGCCCATGGTAATAAAGAATACATATGACAAAATATTCATGTGTTTTAAAAATCACATATCAGACGTATTTGCTATTTTCTACTTGTGTAAGAGAAAGGGTTTTTCTAACATACATCACAGCAGCAAAGCTAGACAGGTACCATGGTTATTATTATGAATTTTAAAAGTAGGCTAAGAAAACATTAAAAATAAAACACAAAACTGGGTTTAAATTCAAAACTGCTTGTAGGTTGGCAATTGTATATTGATAGAATATATAGGAAAACAGACAAGTCCATAGTGTAACATCTTACATAAAAGGAATACTCACTGTATTTATTGCCATTCGAGCTTCAAAATTGTCCACACAGCTAAGAACTAGATCGACGGGATTTCCTTCTTCTAGTCCACCCTTACTAGTTTAAAAAAAAATTTTTTTTTCAAAAGTCAGGAAACAAACTCTTTCATTATATGCTACAGTATAAATATAACATATTTAATTAACAATCCAATAAATATCAAGTGTTGATAACTGTTAACATTACAAGGATGAAGGATGTACAATCTATTCAGAAAAGTTACAATTTCCCTATGTGATTTCCCAGACTTATCCATGCTCACCAGTGATGCAAAGTTAGTAAAAGTTAATCAAATGCAATTCATTATTTCAGAGATGTTCTGACTGTCTATGAAGAAAATTATTTTCTGAGAGTAATGCAATCTAGAACACAGACCTTGAATTTAGGCATTCTTTGTTAAACTGTTATAATTTTCAAGGGTTTTTTGTTGTTGTTTGCTTATTTATTTTTTCACTGTTTCTTTGGTCAGTATTTTTTACTAAGATTTTAACATGTAAAAATTACTATTTTTAAAAACAAAAATATATGTTAATCTGCAAATTTGCTGACTTAATCATTTTCTAATACTCATTTAGCTGAGCTGCATATTCTACAAAATATTCATAAGTAAAAATTTTACCTTATTCTATCCATAAAATGTTGAAAGTTTTCCACTGTGGTTATATTATAGTTGTGTACTTCAAAAAGAACATCAGGATTAATGGTCCTGAGAGTGAAAAAAAAAAACATTTTAAAAGCTGCTAGTGGTAAGAATGTAAGAAAAAACAGAAAGGGAAGTGTTCAATAAACAACAGTATTTAACATACTTTAGACAATTGCAATTCAAGCTGTTCAAAGAAAATCCAAAATCTTGTTCTCTCTTGTCCCACTTCAAGGAGTAGGTTTAAAAAAGTAAAGAATGTCATGAAAATTATCAAAAATTTCCCACCCCAACCTGGATCAATCTATATGCTAGGAATTAAGCCTTTACTACTCTGGTAGCTATCATTCAGCCTGACGAGAGCTTCTTTGTTTCCTACTTTATCAGACGTATTTGCTATTTTCTACTTGTGTAAGAGAAAGGGTTTTTCTAACATACATCACAGCAGCAAAGCTAGACAGGTACCATGGTTATTATTATGAATTTTAAAAGTAGGCTAAGAAAACATTAAAAATAAAACACAAAACTGGGTTTAAATTCAAAACTGCTTGTAGGTTGGCAATTGTATATTGATAGAATATATAGGAAAACAGACAAGTCCATAGTGTAACATCTTACATAAAAGGAATACTCACTGTATTTATTGCCATTCGAGCTTCAAAATTGTCCACACAGCTAAGAACTAGATCGACGGGATTTCCTTCTTCTAGTCCACCCTTACTAGTTTAAAAAAAAATTTTTTTTTCAAAAGTCAGGAAACAAACTCTTTCATTATATGCTACAGTATAAATATAACATATTTAATTAACAATCCAATAAATATCAAGTGTTGATAACTGTTAACATTACAAGGATGAAGGATGTACAATCTATTCAGAAAAGTTACAATTTCCCTATGTGATTTCCCAGACTTATCCATGCTCACCAGTGATGCAAAGTTAGTAAAAGTTAATCAAATGCAATTCATTATTTCAGAGATGTTCTGACTGTCTATGAAGAAAATTATTTTCTGAGAGTAATGCAATCTAGAACACAGACCTTGAATTTAGGCATTCTTTGTTAAACTGTTATAATTTTCAAGGGTTTTTTGTTGTTGTTTGCTTATTTATTTTTTCACTGTTTCTTTGGTCAGTATTTTTTACTAAGATTTTAACATGTAAAAATTACTATTTTTAAAAACAAAAATATATGTTAATCTGCAAATTTGCTGACTTAATCATTTTCTAATACTCATTTAGCTGAGCTGCATATTCTACAAAATATTCATAAGTAAAAATTTTACCTTATTCTATCCATAAAATGTTGAAAGTTTTCCACTGTGGTTATATTATAGTTGTGTACTTCAAAAAGAACATCAGGATTAATGGTCCTGAGAGTGAAAAAAAAAAACATTTTAAAAGCTGCTAGTGGTAAGAATGTAAGAAAAAACAGAAAGGGAAGTGTTCAATAAACAACAGTATTTAATATACTTTAGACAATTGCAATTCAAGCTGTTCAAAGAAAATCCAAAATCTTGTTCTCTCTTGTCCCACTTCAAGGAGTAGGTTTAAAAAAGTAAAGAATGTCATGAAAATTATCAAAAATTTCCCACCCCAACCTGGATCAATCTATATGCTAGGAATTAAGACTTTACTACTCTGGTAGCTATCATTCAGCCTGACGAGAGCTTCTTTGTTTCCTACCCAGTTGAGTACATGGATGTTGGGCCTCTGAATATACTTTTACTGACCTGAACAGGAGGTGGAAAATTATGACCCTTGGGCCAACTCTGGCTGGCCACTTGTTTTTGTATATCCTTTGAGATATAATGTTGAGAGAGAGAGAAAAAAAAAAGACCATTTCATGACATGAAAGTAACATAAAATTCAATTTTCAGAATCCCAACTAAGTTTTATTTGAGCAAAGACTTGCTCTTTCATTTTTGGGTTATCTATATCTGTGATCACACTACAATCCCATAGTTAAGCAAAGGCAACAATGACCATTTGGCCCTCGAAAGCTAACATATGTAATATATATCCCTATATAGAAAAAATTTGCAACCCATGTCCAAGAGGTAAGAGAAATCTTTGCATAATTGAAATCTGCATTTTTACAGAGAAAAGTTAAAGTACATTTATACATTAGATCAATTCACACTATATATACAAAATAAGATTTCACTGAATATGGTCATTAATTGCAATTCCATTTACCTCAAAGTATGTTCTGCTGCTTGAACCTTACTCAAACCCGCTTGATGAGGTTGGAAGAAAAGTCTGTTCATATTGGCCAGTTCTACCTTGTCATAGTCAAAGAGTAGCAACTAAAATAAAAAATAGTGGTATTTCAATGGAAAACATACTAAAAAGCTAAAAATAACTAATCATAAACAGGCAGACTTTATACTTGATGGGATTAACAGTTTGATAATAATACTAGCTAACTCTAAGACACTAGGTGCCACATACTAATTCACTGAATGTTCATGTGAGGAAAACACATAGGTATTATTATTCTCATCCCAGAGATGAGGCAACTAAGACACTCATGGCCCAAAGACCACTCAGCTAATATGTAGTAAAAACTGGATTAAAATTCAGGAACTCTTTCTTTCTTTTTTTTGGGGGGGGGTTTGAGATAGGGTCTCACTATGTAGTTGAGACTGACCTGGAACTCCCTGCACAGCCCAGGCTGGTCTTGAACTCACAGTGATCCTCCTGTCTCAGCCTCTGGAGTGCTGGGATTACAGGCATGTGCCACCATGCCTGGCTAGGAACTCTTAATCTAGCATCTATCCCCTAAACACAATGCTGTGCTGCCTCTCTGAATGGATTCACTGTGAAATTAATGTTAATTTCATTTCAATTTTAAAAACTTGTGCCAAAATCCTACTTCATCTCTAATTTTTTCCAATAAATAAATAAAAAAGAACCCCTTGGATAAATGAAAACTTTAAATAAGGTTAAAAAAAAAAACCAACAATAAACCTAACATAAAACAATAGTACAATCTGACTCCTTTTGTATAACACAATACATACACAAGCCTAGGCTAAAACATTATTCCAAAGAGAATTACTAACCAACCAGTGGATTGTCTCCTGCTATATTTTTAGGCTTACTTTAAATAATATTTGTCACATACATATTTCAAATGATCAGAAGACCACATTTCTTATTTGTAAGAACACAATAGAGCCAAGGATTTCTAAGATCCTTTCCTGATCTAAAATTCTATAGTCTCTAATATAATTCTCAATACTCGAAATTTAATAATTCAAAATAGGATTTTGTTCAATACGGAAACAAAAAAAATCAACACAGTCCATAACAACACTCAAAGAACTTTTTAATACCTTGCTAGAAAATATATATATCACTATGTCCTCTAATCCTATTTAAAGCTCCAAAACATGGTTTACTTAAACTCATTCACCAAATATTTACCGGGTAAGGCAGAGTATTAAATCTGAGTTTCTGCCTCATTGCTCTCTCATGAGTAAGTTGCAGGAAATTGAAATTTCAGAATAGGAAGTGTGAGTTGTTGAATACTACTAATTAGCTTTGATCACTGATAAACCACTTTGATATTTGAGGCCTGTATTTTAATCTGTAAAGCAAAGCAGCTGATCTAGATATAGTGATCCAGGTTGCCCCAGATGCTTTCTGGGATCTGAAATTGGCCCTGGGTCTCCCAGGTTCTACTTCCATATTCAGCTCATGTTACTGTTTTTTTACAGATTAAAGAGTCCCTGGAACTCACCTGTTTAGATTCTTAGTTTACACACTTGAGTATATACTGGGATCATTTGGACAGTTATTATAGATGTTTGTATCTCAACACCATAGATGTTTCCTATTATGTTCTGATGTTTCCTATCATGGAGTACAGTCTGGACATCAGAATTTTTTTAAATTTCCCAGTTAATTGTAATTACAGTAATAATTGAATAATTACTATTCTAGATTTTTACGGCTCAGTATGGTCTAGTTGAGCAGAGTATCACTTGGAGCATGTTAGAAAACCAAAAGCACTTCTCCAACTTTAATATACAATGGACTCTCAAGTTACAAACAGCTTGGCAGATAAACAACTTGGGGTACCACCAGAATTTTAGTTGTGGCTTATGAACAAAATCTTGAGTTACAACCTGAATGCCAGCTGCTTGTGCTTCCAGATGGTCTCAGATACAAATTTAACCCTTAAAAAGTTCTAGAAGGAACATTACAACACCCTTTCCTGTGTTGGGTTAACTGAGAAATCCTGGGCCAATGTCTCTCTAAGGACACTGAGATCTGCTTGTGTACAGCAGAACATCTCTGAAGGCTGTGCAGAGGAGCCTGAGCTTTCACTGACCAACTTGAGTTACAACCACCCCCCTGGGAACAAAATGAGTTTGTAATTATCCACTGTAATTATCCTATTAAACTGCAGATTTGACTAATGATACTTTGGCAACCTGACTTGGAGTAGCAAAAAGTCCACTGAGTTTCAAAGTTTAGTAACCTGAATGTCATCAGGATCACCTAAAATTGTAATAAATGACAATTATTAGGACTACCTGATACAACATCAAAACCACTGAGGTAGGTCTGGCAATCTGTGTTTTAATAAACCTTCCTATTCTGATAATGTAATCATGATTTCAATGATCTCTAACATCCCTGGTCAATCAGCTGGGTACGAAAGACAGCAATATCCAATTTTTGGCCTGCCTTTGTAAACCTCCTGAAAAAAAATCCAAGTTTTAATAAACAATTTTTGTATTTTGGGGTTATCATTTTTTATACTGATGAATGAGTAACAATTTTGCAACCACTTTAAGAGTCTGGGTGGACCAACATATTAAAAAGCATCCATAAACTTTATGGAAAAAAATGTTTGCTTTATCGAAATGACAAATTAAGGCATACAATTGTAGAAAGATTATTATTAAACTGCTTTGTATCTAACATTATAGACTTAGGCTTTATAAATTTAAGATTGGTAGATCGAATTCTGGTATAAGGTTACTTCTTTCTACCCCACAATTCAAATCAATTTTAAAAAGAATTAAAAAAAAAAGATCCGGGTGTAGTGCTACATGCCTATAATCCCAGCACTCAGCAGGCTGAGGCAGGACTGTGACAAGTTCAAGGCCAGCTTGAACTATATATATAGCAAGACCCTTTAAAAAAAAAAAGCACAGCAAAACAAATCGCTAACAGAATGAAGAGAACAACCTATTTTGATTTTAGTTTAGTGAAAGGTCAGAGATAGGAGTCGAGTTTTAATCTTCAGCATGTGGAAAGCCAGATTTTCCCAGCATCATTTATTAAAGAGACTCCTTCTTCCAGTGAAGGGTTTGGCCCTTTTGTCAATGATAAAGTGGTGGAGTGTGTTTGAAGTTATGTCTGTACCTTCTAATCTGTTCCATTGATCCTCCAGTCTGTTTTTGTTGTCAATACCATGCTGTTTTATCATAGTAGTTTTGTAGTATAATTTCAAGTCAGGGATTGTGATGCCCCCTATGTTGCCCTTGTTGCCCAGAATTGCTTTTGTTATTCTAGATTTTATCAATTTAAGTCTTCTTTTCTAAAATTCTATATTCAAGAGACTTATATCTAAATTGTTTATATATTAATTACCTCAACCAAAACTTTCCTGGACACACACAATCCTTATTTAGCAACAGCATCAGCTTTCAGTATCAGGAAGAGAAATGTCTTAACTTTTTGAGAGCAAGAACAATCTGAGTATATACTACAAATCAACAGACCATTAGTAATGAGGAAAAAAAGGTCCTAATTTGTACCTGACTTGTTCCAGGGGTGAATTCTCTACATGGCAAGAAAAGAGAAATATTTTTACCTTACCAATGCCACATCTGGTCAGCATTTCAGCAGTCACACTGCCAACACCACCAACACCTACTATCGCTACAGCAAAGGTACGGATTTTCTGTGAAACACAAATTTATATATGTGTTAGTTAATAACTCTTCATCCAACTTGCCACCAGAAATTACTTTCATTTACTGAAATCATCCTCAGAAATGTGAAAAGGTTTATCATACCTCATAGTCGCTTACAATTCCCATTCGTTTCAATGCCATCAGGCGGCTTAAAACAAAGAAAAAGTTTTAATTCTTACAGTGTTTTAGTTAATAGTGATCTAAACATACATTACTACAGAAAATAAATGAAACTCCACGGGTAGTTCTCCATTAAATGGAAGAATCTGTCAGCTATCTTTTATCAGATGAAACTAAATTTAAAAACAGATGATTATGTGACCTCTCAGGTATAGCCTGTGAAACAATGTTTTTTTAAAAAAAGCTCCTTCTGTGTTCTAATGTGCAGCCAAGATCCACATGTATTGAATTAGATGTTAAGGGTCAAAGTGAAATTTAAACATTTTTTTCCATGCTTTGTTAGTACAGATAGACATTTAACGTTTAATGCTCAATCTATATCATCAGGATAAGCTCATGGCTAGAATTCCATTCACTTGTTGCCTCTGCCCATAATAGATAATGTCTACTTTTAGTAAACACCTATTGTACGCCAAGGACTCTCAGAGGCACTTTAGCTAGTTAATGATAATCTGTTCTGTTCCCATAAGTTTTAAAGTTTTATATCTGTGTACAGTTTAAAGCTATACACATATGTATGTAATTTTCATTTACTTATACTTGAGGAGTCAAACAGATCCACTAGGTTTGTTAGAAAATTCAGTAGTCCTCTGGTTCCAGCTCCCCTTTTCTGTCTTTCCTAACTTGCAGCCCTATCATCATCATCACATTTCTAAAATATATGCTAACATTGTTATTTATTTTCAGCTTTACACCTTACCTGAAGATTTCTCTTACCATCCATCCCTACTACAACAACTACTACTACTACTACTACTACTACTACTACTACACACACACACACACACACACACACACCCCTATCCCATCAGCCTCCCAGTACTGTTCTATGATCATTTTGGCTCAGTGTTACCTGTTCACAACTGAGGATGCAGTATTTTAAAGACTCTCCTTTCCCCTCCTAACTCCATTCTTCAAGATAATAACTGTTTCTTTCCTTATTCTTAATTTCCTGTGTATTTTCACTTACTAAATCCCAACTCTGCATTGGTTCTCTAAAACCCCTTTAAATAGATACAGTCATATGCATGAGTTCTTCTATCAATGTTGTATTTGTGTGTGTTTGGGGTGGGTACCGGGGACTGACCCCAGGATCTTCACACTAAGGTTTATCTCTGTGCTTCCTAAAAATTAAAAAGAAAAAAAAAAAAGAAAAAAGTTTAAAACAGGGTCTCACTAAATCACTTAGTCTTGAGATCCTCCTTTTTCAGCCTCCTAAAGTGGTGGGATAATATGTCCAGCTTGATATTTATCTTCTTAAAGATGAACATACCTCCTAGAATCTGATATAGTGTCTCAACCTATTATACACACAGCTCTGTTCCTGGGATCTCCCTTCATAATTATACTACAAATTTTCATTTATCTAATATTAATTTCATGTGTCCTTGTATCACACAGCTCAGTTCTAAAGAGAACTGGCTAGAAATTCAATTTCTTGGGTCTCACCCCATTTCTAAATCAGAAATTTTCGACGTGAGGCTGTCATGGCTTTCCTCCTAATAGACCGCCCTGCATCCTCCAGGGTACACTGTTATCTTGCTTTTTCCTTTTACTTGGCCCAAGCTTGCTGTGCAGAACCAGCTTCTCCCTCATTCTTCACTTTTACTTTTTCAAATAAACTTTGCTACTGAGTAAAAAAAATTTTTTAATTAAACCTTCCAAGAAATTCTGACTCAAACTATAGCTTGAAGCATCTGCTACAGATTCTTAATTTATTTTCTTATGGTTAGAACATCTTTCAGTAACTTTGTAAAGAGAACTACAAGGTAAATTGTGAGAACATGAATTCTGGAAAAAATTCTTTATAAAAATTCTACTGCTAATAAAACTCTGTGACAGAGTATGCAATTATGGAAAAACTACAAATACATAGTCCAGAATTCGATCCCTGGTACCAAATACATGAGTAACTGAAAGTTTAACTTAATACAGAAGTCTAAAGTTGGGAATAATTCTCCCTTAAAATTTCTGTTATTACTCTAGTGACTAATTCTAGGTACTTATAAAGTATTTTACAATGTGTCTTATGTGAACTGATTTTCATCTATTGTGCTGAGTTCTTGGTGGACCCTTTCCAAACTAAGAAACTTACATTTTTGAGTTCTAGGAATTTCCATTCATTCATTCATTCATTTATTTTGGGTTTTTTTGAGACAGGGTCTCACTATGTAGTGGAGAATGACCTGGAACTCACTATGTAGCCCAGGCTGGTCTCCAACTCACAGTGATCCTCCTGCCTCAGCCTCCCAAGTGCTGGGATTGCAGGTGTGCATTACCACACCCAGCTTAGGAATTTCCTTGTTATTTTCTTGCTTGGTTTGTCCCCTGGACAAGACCTTTATTTCTATAGCCTAGGTTCAATTTTGCATTGTTTTAGTTTTCTGCTCTGGGTAATCTTTCAATTTTATTTCCCAATCCTTCTATTGAGATTTTCATTTCTGTTACCACCTCCATTCCCAAAGAATTATTTTTAATAATCTGTATGATGCTTTTTATATTACCTTGTTCCTATTCTATTTATATAATAGCTTTTCTTATGTGAGGATACTAATAGTAATTTAGAGGAATATGTTTCCTATCCAAATTACTGTTTTATTTTATTTCTTTCATGTTAGGAGATTCTTTCAGCTTTTGTTTGTTTGTTTGTTTGTTTGTTTGTTTTTTGGTATCAGGGATCGAACTCGGGTCCTTATGCTTGCAAGGCATGCGGTGGAACCACTGAGCTAAATCCCCGGCCCTTTCAGCCTTTGTTTTAGTCATGTTTAAGACTGGAACAATAATAAAGTAAGATGTGGGCAGTACTTTTTTATTTCCAGCTTGTAGGGCAATCTAGCCAGGACCCTTAATGGAAAAATCCATAATATCAGAGTTATTGAATCTTTCTGGCTCTATGAGATTTCCCAGAGAAGAACTTTTCCCACCCCAGATAGAATGGCTATCACTAAAAACTCAAAAACAACAAATACTAGTAAGGTTGTGAGGAAAAAGGAAACATTCTCCCTTTTTAGTGGGAATGTAAGCTAGTTCAGTACTATGAAAATCAGTTCCACGATGCCTCAAAAAACTAAAACAAGAAATCCTATTTGACTCAGCTATACCTCTTTTTGCATATCTTTCCAAAAGAGTTAAAGACATCATACTACACTTATATATGCATACCCATGTTTATAGTAGCACAACTCATAAAGTCAAATCTTGGAAATCGCCTATATATGCCTAGCAAAAGATGAATGGATAAAGAAAATGTAGCACTGTATATAAATAAACACAACGAAGTATGACTGAGCTGTAAAGGATAAGTTAGAGTCATTTATAGGAAAATGGATGTAGCTTGAGTCCATAATGCTAAGTGAGATAAATCAGACATAAAAAGTTAAATATTGCATGGTTTCTCTTATATGAATAACCTAAAGTATAAAGAGCAAATTAAAAGACAGATGATAGGAAATAAGGAGTTAAATTTTGTGGAGATGGGAAGAAGATCTGAGGATGGGAGGAGAAAGGAGGGAATGAATAGTAAAAATGATCAAAATTTGATATGTATATGTACCAATCCACATGATGAAAGTATTTATTAGGTATCACAAACTAATACAAATATTTTTTAAAGATTCTTTTCAAACTCCGAATGGAAAGGTATTTATTCCTGGCTGTAGGCCAAGGCAGTTAAGTGGAGAACTGAGAATGTATAAGTATTCAGTGCACTTTCCTGCAACATTGTTTATCCCTTGCTTCAGACACAAAGATCTGCCCCAGTACCTGATAAAAATTTTGTCTTGCTCTCTCCATTAAATAAATCTCTAATCTCCTGTCCTGGTAAGGAAGGGCATTTCCTCAGCTACCCACAATAGTAGTAGGGGGGGTCCTTAAGCCCTTTTTTGTTTGTTGTTTTGTTTGTTTGTTTTTGCTGTTATTGTTTTAAGACCTTCAACCAAAAGGTTTTTATCCCTAATTTAAGCCCTTCTAGAAGGACTGATGCCTATTCACAAGTCTTTTGGGGTATTCTGAAGTATAAGCTGGGATGCAGGCTTAAGATTCAACTTCTCAGAATCTGTTAAACTAGTTTTGCTTCATTTATCCTTGTTCTAGTTTCCAAAATTATGTCACTATACTCTACAAGTATAGGAATCAGGCCTTCTGCTGTTTCCAATGGGGGTTATTCCTTTCATAAAAAGTCTCTTCACTGTCAGATTAGTGAAGTTGAGCAGAAAAATTGGAAAAGTTGGATAGTAAAATTCCTATGATCTATCTTTACCTTGATGTTCCCTTTAAGCTTTACAAATAACTCTGAGAAGAATGTATTGCCACCTCTCTCCCTTACAAATCAGGGGAAACAATTCAGGTTAATTTACTGCCCAAGTCCAGCTAACTGGCAAATGATTTTCAGAGCTATGTTTCTAAGTGGATTTGAAACTAGGTGTTCTAATCTCAAAACCTCTAGTTGGCTCTCTCCAGCTTTTCTACATGCTTATTCTATCCACATAATTGTTATTTGTGTTTTTTATTATTTCACATCCATTAGTCTTCCAACTAAAGTAAAAAGACTTTAGGTCAGGGAATTTATATTTCTTTTGAATCATCTGATGCAATTAAATGGTGTTGAGTACATGCAAAGCCATTTTCCATATTTTCTACTTAGCTTGTACTTTCCCTGTCATAATACTTACCACCTTTGTAACTGCACATTTTCTTTCCTATCTCTCTCACACTCATCTAGTAAGCTTTGAAGGGAAGAGACCATATGTATTTTGTATCCATGGTGTCTGTGTACAAGAAATACTCATTAAGGATGGCTATAGATAAAGAGATGCTCAATAAATGTTTGGGCTAGATGAATAACAATTTTTAGGGGGCCAGGGATTTGGCTCAGTGGTTCTGCCGCATGCCTTGCAAGCACAAGGACCGGAGTTTGATCCATGGTACCAAAAAAAAAAAACAAAAAACAATTTTTAAAAGACAGACTACATTTTCATATACCAACAGATATCAAATGCTATTTCTTATGTGGGAATTTCTTAAAAAGACAAATAGTGCAAATGAGATAGACAATACTACGTATTTAGACTTGAGTTCTAAAATTTCTGTTTGTGATTATGTACAATGTCCTTTGTATTTCAACTTGGAGCAAGAATTTCAAAGCTTTTTAAATTTGTAAATTTAAAAATGTTTAAAGATGTCAAATTGGGAAAGTTTCTGCTTATTTTAGAGATGATAGTTTATGCTTCAATCTAAAAATGTTGGAACATTACCCCTTTGTATTTGGCAATATGGTTAAAATAGTGCACCCTAACACTGTCACTAACGCTTTATGTGTCAAAATAACTATGGCCTTTTTAAAAACCAAAACATTCATGTTCTTTAAAGGGAAAGAGCAACAATAATCTAATCTTTCCTAGTTCACCCATGTTAAAACTATCCAGTTTTTAGCCACACTAATGAATTTTTTTTTTTTTTTTTTTTTTTTTTTTTTTTTTCCCTTTAAAGACAGGTTCTTGCTAAGTTGCTCAGACTGGGCTCAAATTAGCAATCCTCCTGAGAGCTTTCCAGAGTGCTCGGATTATACGCATATGCCACCAGGCTCATTTACTTTTACTGGAGGGACAGTTTCATGTGAATTTTGGATTAAAACAAATGTAGCATCAGTTCAGACTTTATTATTGACTGCTGTATATATAAAATCTAAAACAGCTCTCTAAGCCTGAATTTTCTCACCTATAAAATGGACTAAAATAATAGCGATCACATAGGGCTGTTATGAGAGCAGACCATGTGCTGAAGTGCTTCGCACATAGTGATAGCTTAGTAATTGCTTTCTACTAAATGCAATGAGCAATAAATAGTCTTGCATAAGGCTTAACCATGTATAATCACCATTCTAAGAACTTTATATACACTGGCTTTTTCAAACTTCATAACTATGACAGAAGTACATAAAGCTACACAATGCCCTCCTTACAGGTAAGAAACTGAAGCAGAAAGGTTCAGAACTTGTTCAAGTTTACCCATCTACTAAAAGAGCTGAGATTTGAATTCAATCAGTGCGGCTTTAGAGCTCATGGCCTTAACCATTACACTACCTTCTGCCTGATGAACTGACAAGTCCTCCGAAGAAAGGAGAGGACCAGGTAGGCCTGGTAAAATCTGATGCATTAAGGTATATCCTAAAATCTGGTTAGCGTTAACCCTGCTCCCTGCCGTCCTGACCCTATCTAAGATACTGGGAAGCCTGCACGAAACTCGAAATTTATGCTTAGCGGGCTTTACATATGATTTGACGTTACTGTCGGTGTTATGCAGAACGAAGTGTACGAGGATGGGTGAGGGAGACAGAAAGCTGGATACAAGTGGACAGCAGGCACAGGAGCAGTACCATATGGATGACTCACTCGCTTTTTGTTGTTTTAGAGAGAAATTTTAGGACCAGCACTAAAGCGTGGACTTGCCTGTTTTGGAACGGGACCCCCCCCCCCCCCCCCCCGGAAGG